GAGCGAACAGTGGCGTCAGCATCAGCAGCAGGGGCAGGAGAGGCACCAGAAGTGAGGTCAAACAGGGAGAGACCGTCTGCCCTATCGCACTGTAGGAAAAGCTGCAGATCATCTACCCAGACCTCAAAGTCAACAGCCCGACCCTCAGCGTCAAAGGTGAGAACACTGGGGGTGGCCATGACAGCAGTAGACAGGTAGTGAGCACAGCGGGGTAGGGCAGTGCAGTGGCAGAGGCATTGCTCTTACCAGGCAAGTGAGGCGGTCCGGGGCAGGCCGGCAGGGACAGGGCTGCTACTGCAGTGACGGCGGCGTCTCGGCTGCGGCGGCTCGGCGGCTCGGCTGCTCGGCGGCTCGGCGGCTCGGCGACAAAGGCGGCTCGGCGGCAAAGGCGGCTCGGCGGCTCAGCGGCTCGGCAGTGAAGGCGGCTCGGCGGGGCCGTGAAGGGCGGCGTCGCTGCCGCGAAGGAGCGGCGACGGGGCCGCTGAAGGGCGGCGACGAGGCCGCCGAAAGGGGGCGGCGACGAGGCCGAGTAGGGGCGGCGACGGGGCCGCGGAAAGGGGCGGCGACGGGGCCATGGAAAGGGGCGGTGACGGGGCCGCTGAAGGGCGGCGACGGGGCCGCTGAAGGGCGGCGACGGGGCCGCTGAAGGGCGGCGACGAAGCCGCTAAGAGGCGGCTACGGGGCCGCTGAAAGGGCGGCGACGGGGCCGCTGAAGGGCGGCGACGAAGCCGCTAAGAGGCGGCGACGGGGCCGCTGAGAGGGCGGCGACGGGGCCGCTGAAAGGGCGGCGACGGGGCCGCTGAAAGGGCGGCGACGGGGCCGCTGAAAGGGCGGCGACGGGGCCGCTGAAAGGGCGGCGACGGGGCCGCTCAAAGGGGGGGGGGCGGCGACGGGGCCGCGGAAGGACGGCGACGGGGCCGGAAGGGGCGGCGACGGGGCCGTCAAGGGCGGCAACGAGGCCGGTAGGGGCGGCGACGGGGCCGTCAAGGGCGGCAACGAGGCCGGCAGAGGCGGCGACGGGGCCGCTAAGGGCGGCGCGACGGGCCGCTGAGGAGGGCGCGACGGGGCCGCTAAGGAGGGCGCGACGGGGCCGCCGCTAAGGAGGGCGCGACGGGCCGCTAAGGGCAGAACACTAGGCGCGCCTCGGGCAGGGGACAACGTGCGCCCCGGGCAGGAAAAAAAACTCGATCTTGGTGGGCCCTAGGACAGTTCCCACTAGGGAACCTGCTCGATACCATGAGAAACTTAGAACGAGAATGAATTGACTAAGGAATGAAAGTGATACAAATATGAAACCCTAGAATTGTGTACCCCTTAGTATCTAACCCGCTACAGCCTACACATGCTAGATCATATAAGTTTGACACCCAAATCCGGTTCGTACCGGCTTTTAAGTAGTACTTGCCATGTGGCGTAGTAGCCTGTTGGTGCGGGTTCCTGAAAAACCTGTCGATCTTGTAGCCGTGGGTGAATAGTCCCGTCAGCATCGGGTTGGTGTGGGCGATTAGTACCGCCGCGTTCTGCATGGATGGTCGGGTGAGGGCATCAGCGATGTTGTTGGCGCCCTTCTTGTACGTGATGGTGTACCGAAAATTGGACTCGAGGAAGTCCAACCACTGGATTTGTCGTGGGTTGAGTGTCGGTTGCGTGCGCATGTACTGTAGCGATTTGTGGTCGGTTCGAATTGTCACGTCGGCTCCCGTGAGATAGCAGCGCCAGGTACGAAATGCGTGGACGATGGCAAGCATTTCTTTGTCGTGGACTGGGTAGTTGCGCTCGGGTGGCTGCATCTTGCGTGATTCGTAGGCGATGGGTTGCAACCTGTTGCCGAAGTCTTGTAGCAGGACGGCGCCGACGGCAAGATCGCTGGCGTCTGTGATGACTTCGAACGGTCGAGATGGGTCGGCGAGGCGGAGTACCGGGGGCAAACCCAAAATGTTTTTGAGTGCGTCGAAGGCGGACTGCTCCCTCTCCCCCCACCGAAAATGACTGTCGTGATGCAGCAGGTCGGTCAGCGGCTTGGTTATCCCTGCCATATTGGGTACAAAACGGCGAACATAGTTAACAAATCCCAAAAACTTTGCAACTCAGGGATATTAGTTGGCGGCTTCCACTTGATGATAGCGTCCACCTTTCGCGGGTCGATTTTGATGCCTTCGCCGGAAACCACGTGCCCCAAAAATTCCAACTCCGGCTTTAAAAACTCGCACTTAGACCCTTTCGTAATCAGCCGATGCCCCTGTAAACGCCGGAACACCTCCTCCAAATCCCTCAAATGGTCTTCTTTTGTCGCGCTGTACACCAGGATATCATCCAGGTACACAATCACCTTCTTGTCCAGCATGTCCCGAAAGATCCCGTTCATCGTCAGCTGGAACGTCGAGGGCGCGTTTGTCAGTCCGAACGGCATCACAATAAATTCGTAACTGCCGTAGCGTGTGCGAAAAGCTGTCTTCGGGCAGTCGTCAGCGAACACGCGAATTTGGTGGTAGCCTCCTCGCAGGTCGATTTTGGAGAAATAACGAGCTCCGCTAAGTTGATCCAGCAGATCGTCAGTTCGCGGGATCGGGTAACGCGATTTGATCGTGACCCGATTCAGCACCCGATAATCAATGCACATACGTAGGCCCCCGTCCTTCTCCGGTGTAAACAGTATCGGCGCTGCATATGGTGACGTGCTTGGCCGTATAAACCCCTTGGCTAGTAGGTAATCCAGCTGGCTCCGCAACTCGGCGAGCTCTGGTTGGCTGAGCCGCCACTGTGTCCGCAGGGTAGGTTGCGCGCCGGGCTCCAGCTGGATTCGATGATCTTCTGGGCGCTGGGGGGGCAGGCCATCCGGGAGGTCATCCGCGAAAATCTCGGGATACTTCCGAATAATGCTCGCCAACTCCTCAGGAACTGCTGCGCAGAGCGTGTCGATGTCCGCGACTTTCTTGGAAGCTGCGACCTCGTACAGATGCACCAAGAAGGCCTGGGCTCCGCTGTTCATCGCTCGTGCCATGTTGACAGCGTTGACACGTGTCGTCACCGGCTCTGGTTCCGTCCATTTCGGGAGCGTCGTCTTCCCTGCATATCCTTGCACGACGCACGCTCTTGTCGTCCAGTCGATCGTCGGATTGAAGCGCTGCAGCCAATCTCGCCCCAATAGCACATCGCAGCCGTCCAACGTCGTCGCTAACATCTTCATGCCAAACCCGAATTTTTCGCCACACTGGATCCGAATTTTTCGCGCCTCATCTCGGATGGCCTGCGGTGTCCCGTCCACCAACCTTGCATCGATCTCCGGCAGAAACCTGTTCAACTTCACCCCTATTTTTTTGGCCGTTGCCAGGTTGACGAGGCCGTGACTCGCCCCACCGTCAACGAAGATTTTTATTTTATAACCGTTAACCCTCTCCACCACCAGCACAGGGTAGTCCACGTGTTCACCCACGTTATCCGTCCGGTTCTGGTCGATAGCTCTGATCGGTACCACGACCCGGTGTGGATGGTGATTGTCGGGCGATAGGGTCTCGTCAGTAGGGGGCCCGTCTGCTACTGACTCACATCTTTTCCCGACCCTTCTCCGTCGCTCTTCTTACCCTGCTTAAGCCTCGAGCAGTCTTTTTTCAGGTGGCCCAGCTGGTTGCATATGAAGCACGGCCCAAGGGCTCGACTTGGTGCATCCACGCCGTTGATCGTGGGCTGCTGAGTCGATCCACGAAATCGAGGGCCCTCCCGGGAGCTCGATCTCGCCCACTGTATCAGCGCATCCGTTGACTCGGCTTCTCGGACGGCGTCGTTGAAGCTGCGTGGCCGCGTTCGTCGGACCTCGTACTGTATCTCGTATTTCAGGCCCGCCACGTAGCCACCCAACCGCTCCGCGTCGCTCATGTCGTCCACTTGGTCCGCCAAGTTGCAGAATGTGCTGGTATATTCTTGGACCGAAGTCAGCTGCTTCCAGGCACGCAGCTTCATGCGAGCAGAGTCCGAGGCGGATATGTACTCGAACCTGGTTCGCAAGGCGGCGCCCCACTCCCTCCATGTGCGTATCGTGGCCGTCCCAAAAATTGATACTGCTCGTTGCATGACAGGTGTCGAAGTCCCGTCGTTCGCACGTGCTATTCCTGCCGAAGTCCCTTCGTCCTGCAGCGTTCACCTCCACCACTCTAGTGCAGGTCCTCGCAACAGTGAAACTGCAAAATTAATGCGGGTGGCGTCGTCATGAATCATAGCAGCATTAAAAAACACCTCCACTCCAAACAACCATGCAGAAACAGTGACGAACTTGTCACTTGGGTTAAACGGGGGCGGGTTTGTCGGCTTGATTTTGACATTTGTTGAAGCCATTAATGCTGCATGAGCTATTGGCGTTGCTGCTGTCGTCGCCGGAGCTGTCGCTGCTACACGTGTCTGTGCCGCATCGCGCGCGGGCCTGGCGCAACCCGTACGGGCCGCGCGCGGGCCTGGTGCAGGTCGCGCGGGCCGCGTCGGGCGACGGGGGGCGATGCGGCGGTCGACAGGGGGCGACGCGCGGTTCGACGGGGGCGCGCGGCGGGAAGAAAAATCGCTGCGCGCCCGGAGCGCGCGGCAGGCAGGAAACAGCACGCGCCCGGGGCGCGCTACAGGCAGTAGAGCAGCGGAAGCATCGGGTGGGGCCCACCCACAGGATCGACCCAGGAGGGTCGACCTGCTCTGATAGCATGTCGAAAGGCTAGGCAAGAATCAGAAACAGGAAAGAGGGTTTTTCACTAGCAGCAGTTGAGATACATATAGGAAACCCTAATTGGGTTGTACTCGCTATAGAGTACCCCACTGCAGGCTAGACAAACATCACATTCTGACACCTCCTCCTCATTCTTCCTCATTTCTCCTCATTCTTCCTCATTCCTTCTCCTCATTCTTCCTCATTCCTCCTCCTCATTCATCCTCCTCATTCATCCTCATTCCTCCTCCTCATTCCTCCTCATTCCTCCTCATTCCTCCTCCTCCTCCTCCCCGTCTCTCCTCTTCCCTCCTCCTCAGTCCTCCTCCTCCTCCTCGTCATCACTCGGTGCCCCCCAGCCTGCCCCATCATCACTGTCATCATCGCTGTACATGCTATGCTGATGGTTAACGTCCCATTCCTCATCACTACTCTCTGCTTCCTCCGCTGCCTCCCTCTCCGCCTCTTCCCCTTTCCCCTCCGTACCCCCTCACTCCCCTTCCACTGCCTCCTCCCCTTCTGCCCCCTCCCCCCCCTCTCCCTCTCCCTCCTCCCCATCCACCTCCCCTCCCCTCGGAGGCAACCCCCTCGTGTCTCGCCGCGAGAGCAAAGGGCACTCGCTGAAGTCACACTCAAGCAACGTCGGCATGCTTCGGAGAGAGGAAGACGGAAGCCTAGCCAGCCGCTTGCACTCCATCACCCGGAGCACCTGCAGCTGAGGCAGCTTAATAACCGACTCTGGCAACCTGCGCATCCGCTTCAGCCCTATGAGAACCAACTCTTGGAGGGAAAACAGCTTCCAGATATCATTTGGGAACGTTGAAATCCTGAGCTTGATAAGAGAGCAGGATTGTAGCTGAGACAAATCCGCGAATGATCCCGGAAGCTGCATCAGCTGGTAGCAGTCTACTATATCCAGCGTCTCAAGCATTTTCAGCTGCCCGAGAGATTCGGGCAGGCGGCGAAGCGAGATGAGACGAACCAGCTGCAAAGACCCGCAGCCCTGACAGCCCTCCTAGGGTTAACGGCAGCGCCTCCAACCTTACGGCCGAATCGATTCGGAGCCCTTTTAGCTGCGAGAGTTGACAGATGGAGTTGGGGAGAGATACAAGGGTATCCATCTCGTGGAGCTTCAGCTTTGTTAGAGAGGATAACCGGCCAAGGGACTGGCCAAGGGCTTTGAAAGAGAGGGATTTCATGTCGAGACTCTGGAGGGAGGGAAGCATTGCGCTGCTGGTGCTGCTGGTGCTGCGGGTGGTGCGTGTGGTGCGGGTGCTGTCGGTGGTGACTGAAGAAGAACGGATAAGCACCAGTTCATCTCCTAGCAACGTCCTGAGCCCACCACACTCCCGCACCTCCAACACCCTCAGCCGCGGCAGCTCCACAAGCGACGCAGGGAGGCGTTACAGGCCGTCCATCCGCACGATCCTGACCTCCTCGAGAAACCCCAGCCGTCCGATCCCCTCAGGCAGGGCCGTTACTTTAGGGCAGTCCTTCACTTCCAGGCGGGTGAGTGAAGAAACGCCTGAGGAGGCAGGAAGGGCAGAGAGTCGTGGCATTTCTCGGAGCACCAAGTCCCTGGGGCTTTTCAGACAGCAAAAGCCGTCCAATAGGGACCCTTCCAAGCGTTTGGCATTTATGAGATGAAGGGTTTGGAGGGCCGTCAGGGCGGAGGAGGATGGAGGAAGGTGGGTGAGAGCCGTGCAGTAGTCCAGGTGCAAAGAGCGCAACCGTTTCAAACCGCTCCCCATGCCATCTGGCAGCATCGTGAGCCTCGGACATTTGGCAAGGTTGAGATGCTCGAGAGAAGATAGTTGGGTCAGGGAGTCCGGGAGTTGATGCAGCTGCCTACAGTCCACGATATCCAGCCTCCAAAGAGATGCCAACTGCCCGAGAGATTCGGGCAGGTGGGTGAGCTGGCGAAGGGTGTTAAGGCAGAGCGTTTTCAGAGCAATCAGCTGCCCGAGCTCCTCGGGGAGAGACGTCAGATTCCAGATATTGTCGAGAGAAAGCCGTTGAAGCGTAGTAACCAGAACGATGGAATTAGGAAAGGTTGTGAGACTCCTCAAATCCAGCATAAGTGTCTGTAGCTTGGACAACTGCCCGATACCTTCGGGCAGAACTGAAAGTTCTGGCATATCAAGGGTGAGGCTGGTGAGTGAAAACAGGAGGAAAAGAGGCTCGGGCAGAGACGTGATATCTCCGCACCGCTTGATTACTAGAGTCTTGAGCCGCCATAAAAGCGCGAGAGCCTCAATTAGGTCGTGCGCATTCCTGTCAATTCATCCAGAATTAGGGTTTCGAGCGCCCGGAGTCGACCAGGTTTGACCAGCGACGGGAGAACGACCGCGCATCGTTGAAGCTCCAGAACTACGAGATTAGAAAGGTTGGTAAGAGAGGCAGGCAGCTGAATCATCGAGCAGAAACCCACGGATAGCTGGTTCAGATTGACGAGTTGGCCGAACGATTCTGGAAGCGGCGCTGCGAAGCAGCATCCCTCCAGCTACAGCGACTTCAAGAAGACCATTTTTTTCAAAGGCAACGCCTCAAGCTTATAAGCTTCCAGCACAAGGCTTCTGAGAGACTGCAATGAGGTGAAAGTGTTTGGGAGATGAGTAACGCGTATCCTAAGATGCAGGTTGTAACGTATTCCCCTAACTACCGAGCTAACAACCATCGATCTCTCTCTAAGTCAAATGTCAAGAACTTCTCTCGACAAAGGAAGAGTTGGAGAAGATGGTTGAGTTGGTTGGGATGAAACTTGGTTTGGGTTTGCCAAGCCTCAACTTTGGAGGCTTGGAACAATTCCAACTCAACCAAGAGAATGTTGAAGGTTGGATTTCCAACCAATCACAAACTGCCAATTCAGTGTTACAATCTACTCTATCTTAAGAACAACCATACAAATGGTTCTAAGTTGGGTTTTCCAACCCAACACAATTGCCACATAGGCTCCAAGCCTAGGAACCATCCCACCATGGAAACCATGGTTGGGATAGTTCCCCAAGGGGTGTATTGAGGGGGTCTGAGCTAAGCAAGCTCATTCTCAACCTCCCACTCCAACAAAACAATTGGAAATGGGATTATTTGGCTAAGTCCTTGAGGCTCTCTCACAAGCTTCCCTACACTACTACTCCAAGTGCTTTTCATCAAAGGCATCAAGAAGATCTTCATCTCCAAGGCTATTAAGGCTAGTTAGAGCTACTATTTTGTATTGGGATATTATAAAAACCTTGTAACTGCCTGTCAGAGGTCCACTGGTGATCCCCGATTGATCCTAGGGAAGGGTTACAGGCATGTTGGCCTGGGGGGTTATGGGCGCACTGACCCGCTACTTAACAAGCCCTTTTATCCCAATGGTCTAGTGGTTGGGATTCTGACATGGTATCAGAGCGAAGGTCTCGGGTTCGAATCCCGGTGTATGCACTTCGGGCATCCCAGTGCGGGGGGGTGTCAGAGGTCCACTGGTGATCCCCGATTGATCCTAGGGAAGGGTTACAGGCATGTTGGCCTGGGGGGTTATGGGCGCACTGACCCGCTACTTAACAAGCCCTTTTATCCCAATGGTCTAGTGGTTGGGATTCTGACACTGCCATTATAATAGCCTTGGGCATTACATTGGTATCTAGAGCAAGGTTCTTCCTTGGCCTTGTATGGCCATTTGCTACTTGGATTTTTTTTTTTTTTTTTTTTTTTAGGATCCTAGCTTGTGGATCTAGGATTTTATCCAAGGAGCAGTGAAGATTTTGAAGAAATTTCAAGATCTACAAGTGTTTCTTCAAGATCTACAAAAGCTTCTCCAAAGATCTACAAACTCCAAGCTACAACTACTTCAACTCTTCATTAGAGTGCAAGATCTACAAGGAGCTTCTTCTTCTTCTTCATCAACATAGAGAAGAAATTTGAAGAGATTAATTTCTCTTACCCACCTTTGGTGGAAGACACTTGATCTACCTTGGGTAGAAGAGTGTACCTTCAGATCTATAAGGACTTGTTGAGGATTATTCTCTTGAGTATATCTTGCTCTATCATTGAGGTGATAGAGAGATTTGGCAAACAAGTCTATCTTAAGAGATTCTGTATTGGATTATTCTATAAGAGTAATCAGATTTCTTAAAGATTGTTATAAGATCTGTTGAGATCTCCTCTCCTTAACCTGTTTCATGGCTTCTGGTCAAGAGATGTATGCTACTAAGGAGGTGCCCGTTGCTGGCAATGAGGGAGACAATGCTGCTGCTGCTGCTGACATTGATCTCAACCTTGAGGATTTCGTGGTTGACATGGAGATCAATGGAAGTGAAGCTGACCTTGAGGCTGATGCTGAAAATGAGGATGAGGCTGGCTCTGATGAGGGTGTCTCTAACGAGACTGAGAACATTGCTGTCAAACTCCAGACTCAACTCACGGAGCAGAATATTCTCATTGGAGTGCAACAGTGCCGTATCCAAAACTTGGAGGCTGATTCTGTTAAGCTTCAGGCCTTGATTGAGCAGCTGACCAGGGAGGTGCAGTTGATTCCTAAGGAAAACGACACCTCCAGCTTCATTCAGGACCTGCAGACCACTCTCCAGTTCGTGCAGGATCAGCTCAAGAAGCAAGAGAAAAACATCTCTGTGCTTCAGGCTCAGTACAGGGAGATCCGGCGTGGCAACCTCTATCAGCCTGCTCCTGCAGCAGAGCGAGTCGCCAATGCCGCTAACAGCCATGCTGCACCTGCTGCTGCACCTCCTGCTGTTCCTCCTCCTTCTGGAGCACGTGCTGAGCCTCCTGCTGCAGCTGCAAATGCCTTCGGCTCCTGCCCTTCGGCCCTGCCTCGTTTTGTCCATGGCAAAACTGACGTTGAGACTTGGCTCTCCATTGCGGAGGACTTTATGTCCATCCACAATGTGCGTAGCGAGGCTCGCGTGGTCGCTGCGACCCTTGCCCTGGACGACACTGCAAGCAAGTTGGTGTATGCCAACAAGCGTCATGCAGAGGCTAATGGCCATCCTTTTGGCTAGGAGGAGTTCAAAGCTGCCATGCTGGCGGCATTCCTGAGTCAGCCCCCGGCGCTCGAGGTGCGTAGCCGCCTGGAGAACATCCAGTGCGGTGACCAGCCTGTACGCGAGTACGCCAAGGAGTTTGAGAAAACTCTTTCGCCGCTGAAGACTGCTCTTCCTGAGAGCGAGGTCATCCACCTGTTCTTTAAGGGACTCCCTGAGCACATCAAGCGTGTGCATGTTGTGCGTGGGGAGCACCAGTGGAGGACCTACAAGGAGTGCAAGGAGCAGGTCATTGACACGGATGTGAATTTCCGTGCGTACATGACTCACGCTCGTGCTCAGCAGCAGCCTAGTGCCGAAGGCCCTAGGGGGGGTGGTAGCAGGACTCAGGCCCACAGGGGCGGTGGCTCTTGGAAGAGGCCCTATCAGCAGAAGGGGGAATCCTCTGGGACTCAGTCCAAGAGGGCCCATGCTGGGCCTGCCAAGGATCCTCAGGATGAGGATAAGCCCCCGGCGGGCTGCCGCATCTGTGGCAAGCTCGGCCACAAGTCCTATCACTGCCGTTGGAGGAAGTCCGTCAAGAACTCCGGCAAGCCCAACCAGGGCAAGAAGCCGGATGGTTCTGGCCCTTCGGGCCCGAAGGATTTTCCGAAGTCCAACTAGGGGGTGGGTACCTAGTTGGTGAGCGAGATCGAGTAGATGAGGCTTATGTCCTCCGTGATGAGGATTTGCTAAAGCTAGAGAAGCTTGTATAATGCAAAATCGCTTGTTTGTATGCCTCTTCTATTAATGAAAAATCTGTTTTTAAAACTCGATCGTACCCACTTGAAAACATCTCAGTTGAATCCTTGAAAGATATTTTTTCAATCATCTCTTGCTCGTTCAACGAGTTGCCAGCAATCATGGATATTGTGGGCCGTTGTGTCCAAGAGCACCCGCTCACGTCAGTGGGATTGGTGACTCGAATCGTGAAAGGAGAGTTGTTCCGCCGATTTCACGAATGGCATATCCTGGCAACATGGGACAAAGGGCACCATGTTTGGTGGACCACATCCCAAAGGTTTGGACGTGCTCACAACAAATTTAGGGTGTACTATCGACCTCCTAAACTTGTTGTCGCTTGTCCCATCCGTCCTAGATTCCAACAGAATTTACTGTTATCTGGACGCATGAATGGGGACGAAGCAAGGATTCTCGTCGATACAGGCGCGTCGGTTTCCCTTGTTGATGAAACTTGGGTTACGACACGCAACGTCCTCGTTGTAGGGCCGTCATGTCCCATCCGCTTGGGTGACGATCGTGTCATTCCAAGTAAAGGACAGACACATATCGACATGAATGTACTGGACTATAACGAAACAGTTCGCGTGTATGTCCTACCACTTTTGTCAGGTGTCGACCTCATCCTGGGCATGGATTGGTTGCGAGCCAACGAAGTCATTCTGGACTTCCAGTACAACATTGTCTCGTTCAACAAGAACGGAAAGGCAATCCAGTGGCAAGTCAATGATATTTTGCCCACTGAAACACAGACGCCTGAACGTCCCAGCGCGCTGTGTGTGTTGGCCAACCAGTTCGGGCATTCTGTTAAGTCGGCTGATACACTGTTCGTGGTACAGCTGGAGAATGCTGAGGCCTCGGAGCTAGCAATTGAGGATTTCCCTCCTCAGATGCAAATTCTGGCAGAGGAATTTAAGGAAGTGTTTGAAACTATCCGTGATGGACTTCCGCCTGACCGCGCAGTGGGTCACACCATCCCTGTTGAACCAGGAAAGGTTCCACCTTTTCGACCTCTGTATCGCCTCAGTTCAGCTGAGTACGAAGAGGCCAAACAATAGATCGAGGAATACCTCAGAAAAGGGTGGATTGAACCCAGTGCATCCCCTTACGGAGCACCAATTTTGTTCGTTAACAAGAAGGGCGGAGGATTACGCATGTGCGTAGATTATCGTGCCTTGAACAAGATTACGGTGAAGAACAGATACCCTCTATCACGAATTGAGGATCTGTTGATCGGCTCCAAGGAGCTCAGTGGTTCAGTGCACTGGACTTAGCTCAGGGGTATCATCAGCTACGAATCACCGAAGAAGATGTTCCAAAAACGGCTTTCAGAACGCCGTTCGGGCATTTTCAGTGGCGTGTGTTAAGTTTTGGCTTAACAAATGCTCCCGCGTCATTTCAGCGAGCAATGAATGATGTGTTTCGGGAGGCAATTGGCCAATTCGTCTTGGTATACTTGGATGATATCCTTGTTTACTCTAAGACAGAAGAGGAACACACGCAACACCTGAAATGGGTGTTAGGAAAACTGCGAGAGCATAAATTCTTTGCTCGGTTGTGGAAGTGTCACTTCTACAAACGCGAGTTAGAATACCTTGGTCACTTGGTAGGCAATGATGGCCTCAAAGTTGATCCAAAGAAAGTGGCGGCAGTCCAACAGTGGCCCGTTCCACAGGACGTGGGACAGGTCAGATCATTTCTTGGACTTGCGAACTATTTTCGCCGTTTCTTGGAAAATTATTCCTCCATAGTCGCTCCACTGACTGCCCTCACTCGTAAGGGTAATGCTTGGCAGTGGACCGATCAATGCCAGAAGGCATTTGAGGAGGTGAAAACCATGCTGACCAATGCTCCAGTGCTGGCTTTGCCAGACCCGTCCAAGCCCTACGAGGTGGTAACTGATGCCTCGACAGTAGGGATTGGAGCAGTTCTTTTGCAAGAAGGACGCCCCGTGGCATTTGAGAGTAGAAAGCTTTCACCGGCTGAGCAGCGCTATACAACTTCCGAACAGGAATTGTTGGCAGTTGTGCATGCGCTACGAACATGGAGATGTTATCTCGAAGGTGTTGACTTCGTGGTCACGACCGACCACTGTCCGAACACCTATTTTGCCACTCAAGCCACACTCACCCGCCGTCAAGCTCGATGGGCTGAACTCCTGAGTGGGTTCACCTACGATATTCGATATCGAGCGGGCTCGACGAACATGGCTGATCCTCTGAGCAGACAGCCGATTGGGGCAGCAATGGGTGTTGATGATAATGAACATGAAGCTGTGTTTGCTGCTTGTTTCAACATCCTCGCAGCTGCTCGAGTGAGCGAGATTGCCTTTGGTGGTTTTCTGAAACGCATCCGCGCAGGGTATGATATTGACCCTTGGTTTCGGAACCCACAGAATACAAAGGATCTCTTGTGGGAGCATGAGCTCTGGTGGCACAAGAAAGAAATTGTTGTCCTACATGTGGGAAACCTGCGGAATGATATTCTCGCAGAGGTGCACACCACTAAGTATGGAGGACACCTGGGTGTCAAGAAAACCCGGTGGGCCCTCAGTGATGCATATTGGTGGCCGGGATTGGGCATCGAGGTCCAGCAGTTTGTAACTCGCTGTGACACGTGTGCGCGGAACAAGCCAAGCACACAGAAGCCTGGTGGGTTGCTTCAACCACTCGAGATTCCCGATGAACCTTGGGAGAGTGTTTCGATGGATTTTATCACCGATCTCCCCAAGATGCGAGATGGTCATACAGCGATACTGGTCTTTGTTGATCGCTTGACCAAAATGGTGCACTTCGTGCCCACGACGACTGACGTGTCTGCAGAGGATACGGCAAAGTTGTTTGTGACGCACGTTTTCCGCTTACACGGTTTGCCTCGTGTGATGGTGTCTGACCGAGACCCGCGCTTCACAAGCCGGTTCTGGCAAGAGGTCATTAAGACACTAGGAACGAAACTCAAGATGTCGTCTGCTTTCCACCCACAAACGGATGGACAGACAGAGCGGAGCAACCGCACCCTTGAGCAAATGCTTCGTTCTTTTATTAGCCCAACTCAGGACGATTGGGATGAATTGTTGCCAGTCGTAGAATTCGCTGTAAACAATTCTGTGCATGAAAGCACCCATGAGAAACCCTTTGTCCTGAACTGTGGTCGGCACCCCACAACCCCTGTGACGCATGGGATTAAAAACCTCAAAATCCCTGCCGCAAAGGACTTTATTGGAAAACAGCAAGTGGCATTGAAGTCCGCTCGCCATTGGCTGCAGCTTGCCCAACAGAGGCAAAAGTCCTATGCCGACATGAAATGCCGGGAAGTCGTCTTTGCAGTTGGCGACAAAGTATTACTGAGTACGAAGAATATTCGTCTCAAGATCCCGGGAGCACGAAAGCTCTTCCCTCGTTCGATTGGGCCCTTCGAGGTGATTGCGCGTGTTGGTGAGGTCGCATATAGGCTCAAGTTGCCTGCGACATTGCAGATTCACAATGTCTTCCACGTGTCTCTGTTGAATAAGTATGTTGCAGAAGGCAAGTACTTACCACCACCAACCATCGTTCTAGGGGAGGAACTCTTTTATGAAGTCGAGCGTGTGCTAACGCACCGTGATCGACAACGCGGCCGCAAAACAGTTCGTGAGTTCCTAATTCAGTGGAAAGGCTATGGGCCGGAACACAACTCTTGGGAGCCTGAGGAACACTTGACCGAAGCAGCGGTTCAAGCGTATATGGAAGACCTGGCTCTACGAGCAGGCCCACAACCAGTGGATAGGGTTGACCCTGGTCGTAATGTGGTGCGCCGTGCTCGAAGCACTCGTCCTCAGAAGCCGTATTCCCCTAACTACCGAGCTAACAACCATCGATCTCTCTCTAAGTCAAATGTCGAGAACTTCTCTCGACAAAGGAAGAGTTGGAGAAGATGGTTGAGTTGGTTGGGATGAAACTTGGTTTGGGTTTGCCAAGCCTCAACTTTGGAGGCTTGGAACAATTCCAACTCAACCAAGAGAATGTTGAAGGTTGGATTTCCAACCAATCACAAACTGCCAATTCAGTGTTAAAATCTACTCTATCTTAAAAACAACCATACAAATGGTTCTAAGTTGGGTTTTCCAACCCAACACAATTGCCACATAGGCTCCAAGCCTAGGAACCATCCCACCATGGAAACCATGGTTGGGATAGTTCCCCAAGGGGTGTATTTGTCAGATTTATATGACATAGCTACTGTAGGCTATAGTGGGGTAGCACATATGGGGTACAGTTTTCTAGGGTTTACATTTGTACCCAACTTTCCCTTAGTCAATTCATTCTCGTTCAGTTTCTCATGGTATCGAGCAGGTTCCCCTGTGGGAACTGTTCCTAGGGCCCACCACCTTTTTTTCCTGCCCGGAGCGCGCTCTACACTGCCCGAGTCGCGCTCCCCTCTCTCGACCCTGTCGCGCCGCCTTAGCGGCCCCGTCGCGTCGCGCCTGCGGCCCCGTCGCGTCGCCCTCGCGGCCCCTGCACGTCGCGCCGCCCTAGCGGCCGCGTCGCGCCGCCCTCGCGGCCCCGATCCGCCGCCCTCGCGGCTCCTTCGTGTCGCGCCGCCTCGCGGCCCTTTCACGCCGTCCTCGCGGCCTCTTCAAGCCACCCTCGCGACCCCCCCCCTCCTAGCCGTCCTCGCGGCCCCGTCGACAACCCCTGCGGCCCCGGCGCCGCCCTTCCCTGCCTCGGCGCCGCCTCTGCTGGCCCCGTCGCCTACCCCTGCGGCCCCGGAGCTGCCCTTCCCGGCCCCGGAGCTGCGCTTCCCGGCCCCGGCGCCGCCTCTACTGGCCCCGACGCCGCTCCACCCGGCCCCGACGCCGCTCCACCCGGCCCCGACGCCGCTCCACCCAGCCCCGCCGCCGCTCCACCCGGCCCCGCCGCCGTCCCCACGCGGCCCCGCCGTCACCACCGAGCCGCCGGCGCCGCCGAGCTACTGCCGAGCCGCCCGATCCACCAGAGCCGCCCGAGCCGCCGCGCCACCTGAGCCGCCCGAGCCGCCGGGCCGCCGAGTCGCCGAGCCGCAGTTGCTGCCGAGCCGCCGTACCGCCGAGCCGCCCGAGCCGCCCGAGCCGCCGAGTTGCCGACCCGCCGAGCCGCTCGAGCCGCCCTGTCAGGTAAGAGCAGCGCCTCTGTCACTGCACTGCCCTTACCCTACTGTTCGCGCTGCTAGTCTACTGCTGTCATGGCTACCCCTAGTGTCCTCGCTTTTGACGCTGAGGGTCGGGCCATTGACTTTGACGTCTGGGTAGATGACCTGCAGCTTTTCCTACAGTGCGATAGGGCAGACGGTCTCTCCCTCTTTGACCTCACCTCTGGTGCCTCTCCTGCCCCTGCTGCTGATGCCGACGCCACTGTTCGCTCACAGTGGGCCACACGCGATGCTGCTGCACGTCTTGCTGTGCGTCGCCACCTGCCTACCTCTGAGCGTGCGCACTTTAGCCAGTACAAGAGTGCTCACACCTTGTACGACGCTGTAGTTGCGCGCTACTCCTCCCCTGCCACTGCTGCACTGAGCCACCTCATGCTACCGTACCTCTTCCCTGACCTTGCTGCCTTTCCCACAGTCGCTGACCTCATTACGCACCTCCGCACTAGTGACACTCGCTACCGCGTTGCGCTTCCTGCTGAGTTCTGCGCCAAGAACCCCCCCCCCATGTACAACACCCTCTACTACATAGTCACCCGGCTCCCTGACTCCCTTCGCGTAGTCAGGGACCACTTCCTCTCAGTTTGCCCCACCACTCTCACCGTTGACCTCCTCGAGAAGGCCCTCCTAGCAGCAGAGAAGAGCATAGTCGCTGTAGGAGCCTCTCGTGGTGACCCTCGCACCCCCGTCTTTGAGGGGTGTTCCCCCTCCCCCCTTTTGCCCTCTGTTGCCTCTGCTGCTGCGGCCGACCTCGTTGGTTTCGAGTCGGTCGGTGCTGCGTCTGCCCCGAGCGGGAGACGCCGCACCGGCAAGGGCAAGGGGGGCAAGGGTGCTGGAGGGGCTGGCGGGGGTGGCGGAGGTGGCGGTGGCGGCAGTGGAGGGGGTGGGGGTGGTGGTGGGAGTGGTGGCGGGGGTGGAGGTGTCGGTGGCGGCAGTGGAGGCGGAGGCGGCGGCGGCGGTGGCGGTGGGAGCGGAGGTGGCGGAGGTGGCGGTGGTGGAGGAGGCGGCGGCGGAGGAGGTGGAGCTGGTCGGGATGGCGCTGCGCAGAGGGTCGGCTCCGGTGGTGGTCAGCGCCAGCAGCAGCAGCGGCAGCAGCGCACTCGTGACATCCCCCCCCCTCAGCAGCTCCGTGAGTGGTACGCTGCACGCCAGCGGGGTGGGGGTACTGGTCCGTGCACCTACGTCCTACGCACCGGCAACCGCGCGGGTGAGCAGTGCGGGGGTGCGCACTCCACCCAGCGCTGCTTTGGCCGCCTGACGGACGCTTGGTGTCACCAGTTCCCTGAGGCCACTGAGATCCCCCGCTGGGGCGAGCCGTCTAGGGCGGGTGTAGCTGTCTTTGACCTTGACTTTGATGCTATTCTTGCTGCCATGTATGCTGTGACTATTAGTGATGAGGGTGACTGTTACCGGTGTTTTCCGCCCGACCCGGGCATTGAGACTGCTGCTCTAGGTACTGGTGAGGCTGCTGCTCTAGGTGCTAGCGAGGCTGCTGCTCTAGGTGCTCGTGCGTCTGCTCCCTCAGGTGCTGGTGAGTCTGCTCTCTCAGGTACTGCGTCGGCTTCGGCCTCCCACACCTTCACCCTTGACTCGAGGGCTTCTCGCTCCTTCTTTCGAGACCGCACCACACTCACGCCGCTTGGCCGACCAGTTGCAGTCTCTCTGGCAGACCCCTCTGGGGGTCCTGTCCTTGCTCACTTCTCCACTGTCCTCCCGTGTCCGGCGGCCCCCTCTGGCACCCTGTCTGGTCTTTACCTCCCCTCGTTCTCTACGAACTTGGTGAGTGGTGCTGCCCTACAGGATGCGGGGGTTCACCAGTTCACTCCTGCGAGTCAGCGGGTGACCCACTGCACGGACGCTCGGACAGGCCGACACCTGGCCACGTTTACACGTCGGCCGGGGTCGAGCCTGTACACACTGACCACTGCGTCTCCTCCAGTCACTGCGTCTGGTCAGGTAGCTGCGTCGGGTCAGGTGTTTGCTGCAGCGTCCAGGTCTGGTCCTGAGTCTGCCCCCTGTTCGTGTCGCCTCCTGTCGCACGAGACTCTCCTCTGGCACCACCGCCTTGGTCACCCCTCCCTGCTTCGTCTCCGAGGCATGGCCTCCCGTGTCCTTGTCTCTGGTCTTCCCCGGTCCCTCCCTCCCCTTCCTCCGGGGCCCGGCCCTACCTGCGTCCCTTGTGTCGAGGGGCGGCAGCGGGCTGCCCCTCACTCCTCCCAGTTTCCTCCGACAGAGGCCCCGCTGCAGACGCTTCACATGGACGTGTGGGGCCCGGCCCGCGTCCGTGGACAGGGTCACGAGCGCTACTTCCTGCTGGTGGTTGACGACTACTCGCGTTACACCACAGTCTTCCCCTTGCGCAGCAAGGGTGATGTCACTGAGGTGTTGATCGACTGGATCCGCGCAGCTCGTCTCCAGCTCAGGCAGAGCTTCGGCTCGGACTTTCCTGTTCTGCGTCTGCACTCTGACAGAGGTGGAGAGTTCTCCTCTGGCCTTCTGCGAGCCTACTGTCGTGCACGAGGCATCCGCCAGACCTTCACGCTTCCGGACTCTCCACAGCAAAATGGGATTGCTGAGCGCCGCATTGGCATGGTCATGGACGTCGCCCGTACGTCCATGATGCATGCGGCTGCCCCCCATTTTCTGTGGCCGTTTGCGGTTCGGTACGCGGCGCATCAGATCAACCTTCACCCCAGGGTCTCCATGCCGGAGACCTCCCCAGCTTTGCTGTGGACGGGGAAGGTTGGCGATGCGTCTGCGTTCCGTGTCTGGGGATCTCGGGCGTTTGTCCGCGACTTGTCTGCGGACAAGCTGTCCCCTCGTGCTGCTCCTTGCGTCTTCCTTGGCTTCCCCCCTGACGCGCCAGGGTGGCAGTTCTACCACCCCACCTCTCGCCGTGTTCTGTCCTCCCAGGACGTCACGTTTGACGAGTCGGTCCCCTACTACCGTCTCTTCCCCTACCGCACTCCGTCCCTCCCCCCGCCACCGCTCTTCCTTGTGCCAGGCCCCCCCCCGGTAGACCCCCTCCCCCCTCAGGGTCCTGCCCCTTCAGGTGTGTCCCAGGTAGACGCCGTCGAGCCTGTCGAGGTTACTGGTGACTCTGGTGCTGCTGAGGGTGCTGAGCCTGGGGGTGCTGACTCTGGGGGTGCTGAGCGTGTGGGTGCTACGCCTGGGGGTGCTGAGCCTGAGGGTGCTACTCCTGGGGGTGCTGAGCCTGGGGGTGCTGAGCCTGGGGGTGCTGAGCCTGGGGGTGCTACGCCTGGAGGTGCTGAGCCTGGGGGTGCGGAGCCTGAGGGAGCTGGGCCTGCTCGTGTGACGTCTGGCGGTGCTGAGCCTGGAGGTTCTCCGGGTGCTTCGTCTCGGCGGGAGCCACTCTCTCCACAGGAGCTGCAAGAGTGGTTTGCCCGGCGCTGGAGGCGTGCTGCTGGAGCTGGAGGTTCTTCGGCTGCTGAGGGTGCTGGTGCCGCGGGTCCCGGAGGTGCTCGTACTGGGAGTACTGGAGCTGCTGGGCCTGCAGGTACGACTGGAGCTAGAGCTGCTGAGGGTGTTGGCGCTGAGGCTACTGCTGTCGGTCCTGGAGGCGGTCCTGCTGGGGGTGCTACTGGTGCTGCTGGAGGTACTGGAGCTGGAGGTGCTGCTGGCGCTGGTGCTGCCGCTGGGGGTACTGGTGCTGTCCCTGCTGTGTTTGGAGTCGCCGCGCGGCCTCGGCCGTACTTCGTTCCGCTCCTTCAGCAGGTTCTTGGTCTCCCGCCTTCTACTGGTCCTCCTCCTCCCTTAGAGTGTCCACAGCCTGTCCCGTCACAGTTACAGTTACAGCCGGCCTCCCCACTGCCCGCTCCTTCTCCCTACACTGGTCCTACTGGAGGTCTGGCTGAGCGTCGTGAGCCTGCGTCTCGCCCTGCGTCGCCTGTCCGTCTTGCTCGCACTAGTGGTCGTGGTTCACGTCAGCGTCCTCCTCCTGTCCCTGGCACGCACCGGATGTCTCTGCGTCCGTCCACTGCTCCTCTGCGTGCCCCTTTGCCTTCTCCTCCTGAGTCCTCTCTTCCTGCTCTTCCCGACCCGGAGTCGGACTCTCTTCGTGCTGCCAGTCCTACTGTCACGCGTCTCCTTGCTACTGTCGTCACTGACCCTTCCTTTGAGTCCACTGCTGCGTCTGCCCTAGTTGCTGAGCTCGTCGACTTTGCTGCTCGCTGTCGTCTAGACTACGCTGCTAGTCTTGTCGTTGAGTCTGAGTCTGTCTGTCCTCCGTCCGTCGGGGGTGAGTGTGCCCTTGGCACGGACGTCCTTGAGGACAGGCAGGAGGAGTTCCAGTGTTTGGCTGCTGCTTCACCTCATCTCGTGTCCGTACTGCTTACCCCTGAGGGAGACCCGGATGCACTTGACATCCCGACTCCGCGCTCTTACGCGGAGGCGATAGAGGGTCCCTACTCCTCTCAGTGGCAGGCAGCTATGGACACAGAGATGGCTTCCTGGAAGTCCACAGGCACCTACGTTGACGAGGTTCCCCCGCCTGGGGCGAACATCGTCAGTGGCATGTGGATTTTCAGGGTGAAGCGACCGCCGGGTTCTCCGCCTGTCTTCAAGGCGCGTTACGTGGCTCGTGGCTTCAGTCAGTGGCAGGGAGTTGACTACTTTCAGACCTTCTCTCCCACCCCGAAGATGACCACTCTTCGGGTACTGCTGCACATAGCTGCTCACCGCGACTACGAGCTGCACTCTCTTGACTTCAACACTGCTTTCTTGCAGGGCAGCCTGCACGAGGAGATCTGGCTGCGTCGCCCACCTGGCTTCACTGGGTCTTTTCCTCCTGGTACCCAGTGGAGCCTCCGGCGGCCAGTCTACGGTCTCCGCCAGGCACCGCGTGAGTGGCACGACACACTGAGGACTACACTTGCGGCTCTTGGGTTTGCTCCCTCTACTGCCGACCCGTCGCTGTTTCTGCGCACCGACACTTCTTTGCCGCCGTTCTACATCCTCGTGTACGTCGACGACTTGGTCTTTGCCACAGCTGACACTGCTGGACTCGCCCACTTGAAGTCCGAGCTGCAGAAGAGACACACGTGCACAGACCTGGGTGAACTGCGCAGCTACCTTGGCTTGCAGATCACCCAGGACAGAGCACGCCGCACCATTACCCTGACTCAGTCACACATGGTGCAGCAGGTCCTTCAGCGCTTCGGCTTCACGTACTCCTCGCCTCAGGCCACTCCTCTGCCTACTCGCCACTCGCTCTCAGCTCTGCCTTCGGATGAGTGCGTAGAGTCGAGTGGCCCGTACCCAGAGCTTGTTGGCTGCCTCATGTACCTGATGACCTGCACACGACCTGACCTCGCATACCCTCTTAGCATTCTCGCACGCTATGTTGCTCCTGGGAGACACAGACCGGAGCACATGGCTGCAGCGAAGAGGGTGTTGCGTTACTTGTGCAGTACGTCGGGCATGGGGCTTGTGCTTGGAGGGCAGAGTCCAGTGGTCCTCACTAGGCACGCAGACGCTTCTTGGGCTGACGACCAGGCTACGCAGCGGTCGTCACAGGGTTATACCTTCAGCCTTGGTTCCGGCTCTGTTTCGTGGCGGGCTACCCGCTCGTCTTCTGTTCTCGGCTCCAGTTGTGAGGCTGAGATCTACGCCGAGGCCATGGCTGCACAGGAGCTTCGCTGGCTCACCTACCTGCTGACTGACCTCGGAGAGCCGCCTCGTTCTCCTCCAGTGCTGTACGTAGACAACAAGGCCATGCTGGCCTTGTGTCGAGAGCAGAGACTGGAGCACAGAACGAAGCACATTGCTCTCCGCTACTTCCTTGCTCGTGAGCTACAGCAGCGTGGTCAGCTGCGGCTTGCGTACGTGGCCTCTCAGGCCAACACTGCTGATATCTTCACCAAGGCACTTGCGCCTTGTGATCATCAGCGCTTCTGTACTCAGCTGGGTCTTGTGCCTACCTTGCCTCACTTGCTCACCCCTTGACCTTGTTTGTACTGTTGCATATATATATACACCTGCTCTTGCTTGTCTAGCCTTATATATATATGTAATCCTGCATGTGAACTGGCCTTGTGGCCTTGAACTTGTGCTCGGAATGTGTGGTGACTTTGTGATCCACCCTGAGCTTGCTTTGCTTTGCTTGACTGGTCTTGTGACCCCTTGTTCTCCCCCACTTTGCCTATGGGGGTGTGTCAGATTTATATGACATAGCTACTATAGGCTATAGTGGGGTAGCACATATGGGGTACAGTTTTCTAGGGTTTACATTTGTACCCAACTTTCCCTTAGTCAATTCATTCTCGTTCAGTTTCTCAGTATTGAGGGGGTCTGAGCTAAGCAAGCTCATTCTCAACCTCCCACTCCAACAAAACAATTGGAAATGGGATTATTTGGCTAAGTCCTTGAGGCTCTCTCACAAGCTTCCCTACACTACTACTCCAAGTGCTTTTCATCAAAGGCATCAAGAAGATCTTTATCTCCAAGGCTATTAAGGCTAGTTAGAGCTACTATTTTGTATTGGGATATTATAAAAGCCTTGTAACCGCCATTATAATATCCTTGGGCATTACACAGGTTCTTGAGCAAAGTGAGTCTGTCGATAGACGGAGGAATGGCAGCACGCTCCGTACAAATCTAGATAGAGATCTTGCAGCTGAGTACACCCCTCGAAGATGAACGTCAGGCTCTTCTTCACTTACACCGGTAATATCTGCTCGACTGTATCCATGTGCTATCGAATCAAGACGAAGCTCCGTCAGATGAGGACACAGGTCAGCGAGGCGAGAGAATAAATCGTGAGAGTCGGAGGTAAGGCTGCCGAAGTTGATGTTTAACTTTCTGATGTTAATGAACGATGAAAGAAGCTTAACGAGCTGAAGTGGACACATACGGAGGTTCTCCCGCAAGTTAATCTGGTCTTGCAAGCGGTAGGCAATTTGATGTCATTGCTTGCAGACTAGTGCGTGCGTCAGCTGGAAATCGGGTCGAATAAGAAGACACAGTATACGGGAAAGCAGCTCATCGGGTAGCCGTTGGATCGGCGATCCAATTGGCATCGTGAAAGGAGGAGTTGATCAGATTCCAATGGTTGTTCCAATGTAGTTATGACTGCCTCTTCTAGGACGATAACTAGACAATTCGGTCGCGTCGCGACTCACGAACAAGCAATACTGTACAGAGTCCAGATCCAGAAGTACACAAGATGCTTAACCCCTGCGCGCGAATTTTCCCAGCACGCGTCGGAAACCCTGCACACGTGTTTTTTGCGCCAGCCAGTTTGCACCCCATGTACAAGCACCTCAACCAATACGAACCACAGAAATCGAAGTTTGACCGAAGAGACTGAAGTCAAACAGTCAACTGCGAGTTACAAAAGTTTTTGTAAGCCTTTTTTGCTAAGCCTAGCGAAATGCAAGAATCACTTAAAACCAGGGTGCACATTCAACGCGGTTCGGCTTGAGATGTTGGGAAGGGGGTTTGGAGAAAAACAGTGATTGGCTCACGAGGGGCGACAAAAAAATGATTCCGCTAGAGCTTCGGGCATTTCGTAGGTGGCGGGAGGGGGTGAAATGGCGGGAGTGGGTGAAACCGAATGGCGGGAGGGATGAAACAGATTGGCGGGAGGGGGGGGGAAACGAAATTGCAGGGGAGGGGGGAAACGAAATTGCGGGGGCGTGGGGAAACGAAATTGCGGGGGAGGGGGGAAACGAATTTCGACTTGAAGGGGTTGAAAGCACACCTCGTAACCCACTCAGTCAAGGGATAACCTTTGATGCACATTCAGCTGAATGTGCACCCCGGTTTTAAGAGCCCTCTTCACAAGGCAACCTTGGGTTAGTCAAACGGGCATCATGTGTAGTGCCGTGTCATCCAGAATCCAGATCAGTTGCAGCACACTGATCACAGGAGGGGGGTAATTGGACTTGTGACTGGCACCGCACAGCACCTCTCTTTTTCTTGAACTGTTCCCACCAGATAAGAATGGTGTACCAGATTCGCGAAAAGGACGGCGAGAAAGAACCTACACTGACGAGAACCCTTCGTGCCTCTGCGATATTTCGTGTGCCGAAATATAAAGCCAATGGGCGGTGAGCCCCTGACAAGGAATTGAAGACATGAACCCCAGACCATTGGTCATTCCCTCCACCATACCAGAAACACAACCCACCCTGCCCGAACAACTTCTGATGTGCCAGCATGGATAGGCAAAGAGGCACCAGTACCACACCACCTGGCAGGAAGGCCACATCTCCCATCGCTCGATCAATTCAAGATCCTTTAGGAGATGATGACATGGCTAGCCAATGTGGCTTCTCTCCAGTCATTTTCTAAGTCAGATGCGCATTCAGCATGTGCTTCACAGCAGCTCGTCGAGGTGCTGGAAACTGACAACGCTGACCAAAAAAAATTATGTTTTCGGAAGACAACAGATAAATTGGCAAAATTGCTGAAATGAGTCACCCATTTTGTTCATATTTTTTAAGTGCGAATGTGGCTGTTTCTACAGATTAAAAAAGTTATAAGGGCGGGTCCAACAATGTATGTATTCGCGGAACAACCTACCTAACCATCTGGAGTTTGTATTAGACCGCTCTAGATAGATTCCGAAACCTTTTCCACCCCATTCAGACGTCCTCTTTGGACCCGCCCTAAACGTAAAAACAACCAGGTCGTTTACATCGGAGCAAAACCGTTTTTCATGTCGGCTCTGCAGATACGACTCGGTGATGCGTCGTCGTCCGTCACACAACCGCTGAACACAAAACGCCACGTCAGACTAGAGCGCGCGCACCCCTCTTCCCGCAATCCACACCACCACAGCACACCCCCTCCTCCGCTCTCTCCTCACCTCACATTCACATCTGGAGTTCAAGCCAAATGCAATCCTTCTCTGCACTGTACACACACACAGCGCCTCTCTGGTCCCACAATTCCTCTCACTCCCTCCAAGCCACCACCCACACTGCTAGTTGCTCGCCTCACCACGACATTCACTCCGACTGCTGCACCCAACACTCCCGTCATTGGCTTTGCGCCCTCACTCGACCAGACTGCTCACTTGTTGCTACTTCTGTGGCTTGCCTGCCACAAACAACGCTAGCTCAAGCGTGTCAGCTCGACTCGTTGAAAGCATCTCACCGTCCTCCTTACTACTTTCTGCCGCAACTACGCCATGGCCGCCACGGTAATAACCCTGCGTCTTATAATCAGATTAGTGAACCTAAAACATTACTTCCTGATAGGTAATCTAGTCGCCAGTGCCGCCATGTATCCGAATCGGCGAATCTTGCTGAGGCGCCTTGATTTTTGTACCGATTGATAACGATCTACCTGCAAACAGTATAAGATGACACTACTTACCATGCGTCCCGTCACTACGGATTAACGCAACAGCCGCGGAGCATCCTGTTAATGTTTTTGTTCGTTTTCTATGTTGTTATTATTTTTAATTTCAATTTCTTGTTTCCATTTCTCGTAGACACACAGCAGATTCTCTCTCGCTGCCGCACATCATCCTCACATCCCTCCACTTTCTACGCTCTCTTCCCCAACGTACTTCCCATATCCCCTCCCGCGCTCCTTCCTCCGCTCACTCCTAGGTCTCCCGGGCGTTGACCGTCACATGCGCGGCGCGCCACGTCACGTGCGCGGCGGCGGCAGGCGGCGCCGCGCAGCAGCAGTGGACGGTGAAAGCTCTGGAGAGCAAGAGTATCGCGGACTTGCGAGCTCGGGCGAAAGAGCGTGGATTGCGGGGCGACACGCGGGCAGAACTCATCACACTGCTGACGTGGGTGCCCGCCCCGTAGTAAAAAAAAATAAAGCGGCCTTTCCAAATGCTCTCTGCACCTGCTCTGTTCTTTACCGTTCTGTTCTGCTAGGTTCCTTCCTCTTGTTTCCGTCTGGTTCCGTCTAGTTCCGTTTGGTTCCGTTTAATTCCGTCTGCCAGTGTGTCCTCTAGCAATCCTCCCCTCTCATCGCAGTTTCCCTCTGCGTTCACTCGTCTTCCTGCTAGCTCCATCTCGGGAATGCCGTCTACCATTGCATGTCGTTTCGGATCTCGTTGTCTCTGCTTCCCCCCTCTCCCACACTCTCCGCCTTCTCCGCCCTATCCGCCCTCTCCGCCCTCGCATCACCTGCGCCAACGGGCTGAGACATTCCGCAATCCGCCGTAACATTCCCCTTTTCCCCTTGCTGTCTTTCCCCCCACCCCCCATGCCCTCCCTCCCCCCTTCCCTTCTCCCCCCCCCCCCCCCCCCCCCCACCCTCCCCTTCCCGCCCCTCTTCCACTCCTCACCTCCCCCCCAAACAACAGGTCCACAGGAAACGTCAGCGCAAGTTCCGCCTCCGCAGTTTCCGCCCCGGCTTCTACCCCCGCTTCCGCTTCCGCCAGCGCAGCGGGCGCGGCAGGGCAGCAGCAGCGGCAGCGGCAACTGGACGTGCTTCCGCTGGCGCAGCTGCGCGCCATGGCGCGGAGCAGAGGGCTCAACGCGTCGGGGAGCAAGGCGCAACTAGTTAAAGACCTATTGTGAGTTGGCAGCGCGGAGGGAGGGGGGGTGGAAGTCGGGGGGAAAGGGGGAAGAAGGAGAGGGGAGGAGTTTTGGGAAGTCAAACTTAGAGGCGTTGCGGAGTAGCTCGTCCCCTTTCTGTTCTCTTACCTCTCCTTTCTGCCCCCTCCGCTCTTTCCGCCCTTTCCGCGCTCTCCATTCCTCCGTCCCCTCCCATACCCCCTATTCCAGAATCGCGGAACTCGGCAGTGCTCCATCCGCTCCCTCCCCTTCCGCCTCCGCCCCCCGCGTTTCCGCCCCGCCTCCCGCCACCCCCGCACCCCGCGCCGCCTCCGCTTCCCCGTCCGCCCCCGCGCCCGCGTCCCCGAGTAAGACGTGGAAGAGCCAGCTGCAGGCGCAGCCCCTTTCCGCCCTGCGCGCGCTTGCGCGTGAGCGTGGCCTGCGCGGAGACACGCGCGCGGAGCTGATTACGGTGCTCAGTATGGACCCGCCCGCAGGCTCGGAACTGCCGGGCCTGGTTCCGAACCTACCGTCTTCGTTCGACCTGCCGTTCCAATCGGAGGTGCAGGCTGGGAGCAGCGCGCTTGAGCCCTCACAGGTGGGGGGCGAAGGGGGAGGGGGAAGGGGGAAAGTGGGAAAAGAAGGCAGGGAAAAAGGGGGAAATGGGGAGGGTGGATAGCGAGGGGGGATGTCTGGTGGGTAAGATAAAGACTGGAAGCGTTAAGTCAAGGCATGGAGTGAGCAAATGTGACAAAACTAATAAGAAGCAACAACAATCACGCATTCCTCCTTCTTCCCACCTTCCTCTACCTCCTCCATCTCCCCCTCTCCTCCGCCCCCCTCCCCTTCCCGCTCCTCCCCTCCCCTCCCTTCTCCACCCCTCCACCCCCCTCCCCTCCCCACCTCTCGACGCTCTCCCTCCTCCCCTCCCCTACTCCCTTCCCCACGCACCCAGGCGGCCAAGCTGGCTTCTGAATTAGCATCGCTATCAGCAACGATGCAGGTGCTGCAGTCGAAGCAAGCGACACTGTCAGAAGAACGAGACAGCCTCAAGGAGCAAGCGGACCTGCTAAGGAACGTGCTCGTGGGTGGGCTTGGACTCGCGCTCATCCCGCTGCTGCTCCCGCTGCAAGCGACCAACACGGCCGTGCAAGGCACTGTTACTACCACCACCAGTGTAACCCAGGTGAGCTTTGGTCGTAGTGTGTGTGTGTGTGTGTGTGTGTGTGTGTGTGTGTGTGTGTGTGTGTGTGTGTGTGTGTGTGTGTGTGTGTGTGTGTCTTCTTTTTCTTTTTCCTGCTGCTCTCACTGCAAGCAACCAACACGGCCATGAAAGGCACTGTGACTGCCGCGCCGCCACCAGTTCAACCACACCCCCCTCCACCAGACGCCCCCTCCCCCAGCACCACCTGCGCCTGGAGTGCAAGGAGCTCGCACCAGAGGAGTTCCTGCTGCACGCTTCTCAAGTCTGACAGTCTGACAGTCTGACTCACCCAACCCATTCCCCTCTGCTTCCTTCCCCCCTCCACTCCACACGCCCGTCCACCAGACGCTGCCTCCCCCAGCAGGAGTTCGGCTCGGCCTGCTGCCCCTGAGGTCTGGGAGCAGGATTGTTCTTTTGATTGAGAATGTGTCGTGTGCCATTGTAACGAGGTGACTTTTGAGTCGACTCAAAGGTCTGGGAGCAGGATTGTTCTTTTGATTGAGAATTCTCAAAAAACAGAGCTGGCGTGCGCCGAAGGAAGGAGTTCTGCCGCACGCACGCTTATTGCATGAACTCACATGTAATCTACCTGTTCCTTACTCCTCCCATCCCATCCCCTCCACCAGACGTTGCCTCCCCGAGCACCACCTGCGCCCGATCTGAGGGAGCAGGCACCAGAGGAGCTTTCTTGCGTCCCTCTCTCTATGTCAACTCATAAATCCATCCAAATGATCCGCTCCCTCCTCCCCCCTCCCCGCCTACCCCCCTCCGTCCACCAGATGCTGCCTCCCCCAGCACCGCCTGCGCCCGAGGTCAGGGAGCTGGCACCAGAAGAGTTCTGCCGCACGCTCCCGGCCTCGTTGCTCTCCCCCGACCTCGCAAGATTCTGCCAGGCTGTCAACAACATGAACCTGTGATCCTGTCACCGCTCCCCTTGGGTGGGCTGTTTGAAAATCTATTTGGGAGGGAGGGGAGGAGATCTTGTTGGGCTGGGCATGAGTTGAGCTGAGAGCTCAATATGCTCCTTCCTTGCCTCGCTTCGCTGCTTTTGCCTGGAACTTGCTAGATTCTGCCCCAGGCTAGGCTAGGCTGTCTAACAGCATTGGGCTGTGACTGGAGTGGAGGCCCCGCATTGGGGTTCTTATTTGGGCTGTAAACAAGGTTACTGCGGGGAGGCGCACGGGTGCATTGGGGTTTGGGGGCTCAACGAAAAGCTGTGATGTGACTCGGGCTGTGGCTGCGTGCCCTGATTCATTTGGGATTGTTCGTCTCGGGAATCGGGATTATAAATGGCACTGGAGAGTGCTCGCTGTAGGGGTTGGGGTTGGGTAGGGTGTGGATGGGTTGTGGAGGAGCAGTGTGGGTGTGTTTTGATGTGAACATGGTAGGTACCGTTTGTTTGTTTTGCGTATGTGCTGCTGTGAACACTTGCTCAAGTTTACTGCAATTGGATTTCCCTGTTACCGTACCTGTAGCTCTGTCTGTAATACAAATGATTACAGTACTCAAGAAGAATGCAGTTCCAGCAACTCCCATCTGAGCGTGCAGCTGAGCTCCATTCTGCTTCGTCTAGTGTGCAACACTAGGCAATTCTGTCAGCAAGCAACCACCCCCATGAAGGAGGGTGGTACCGGTACCAGGCCAGGCAAGCAAACATTGGTACCGTCATCGCCCGGATATAAGACATATATGTCTTATCTCATACACTAAAAAAAATGCTTGGGTTATCTTGTATTTGGGGACGTTTTGGGTGTCTTATAAGTCTTATAAATGGAAACTTTTTTAAACTACTTAGAAATATTTTCACACATCTTGAAAAGAGTTTCTCATTATGAGTGTAGATGTTGCGAAGGTGCCACTTCGGCAACCATTGTTCGGGGTGCCACGTCATGGAGAATACTTGCAAAGGCAAATTTGGTAGTACGTGAGTCAGCACGTGGCAGAATTCGCGTGTCGCAAGGGTAAAAATGTACGCGGTACTTCAATTTTCACTATAATATATTGCAGTTTCGATTATAAGACACATATGTCTTATCTTGTACACACAAATAGGTGTCTTATAATGAGGCTAGCCTGTTTATAAGAGACACCCGTATAATAGACAACCCCTGTCTACTATTCAACACTGTCACACTGTGCTACGCCTACTGCCAAGCAATGAACTGGACTGGACGCTTGAAATTGATAATGGGTGTATTATTACTACCGGTAAGAAATTTCACAAGCCAACCCCAGCCACCACCAGGAGCTTGCAAAAAGCCATTGCGCCTCTCTCACACAGAGGTGACTTTTGAGTCGACTCAAAAGTCAGCTTGCAAAAAGCCATTGCGCCTCTCTCACATAGACTCATCCCCCAGGACGAAGGGCTCTCAGCCTCTCATCTCATATTACGGTACTGGTACCGCTAGACTGTGAAGAGTTTCCCAAGGTTGGAAGAACAAACCGTTCAAAGTAATCGCAACTCAAACACGTGGTTGCTGAGAATTCTTGTCCTGCCTGCACTGTACCGTATCTAAAAAACCACCTGTTTGGGGTTGTCTTAAACAACCACCTGTCACAGCTCATCTTCCTGCACCAGCCCTCTCTCCCTTCCTCCCGGTATTTACGGTATGAGGTGACTCAAGAAGGGAATAATTGTCCTGTGTCTTCAACAACCACCTGTCACAGCTCATCGTCCTGCACCAGCCCTCTCTCCCCCTCCGCATCCTCCTCTTGCTCCTCCTCCTCACCCTGTGCTCGGCCCTCCTCACCCCCACCGTTCCCACTCGCTCGCCTCCCCACACTGGAGAAATCATCGTCTTCTGTAGCGGTGCCACTCCCTGTGGGTGCTATATCCAGCCTGCTATCTACCAATCCATTAACAGTCTCTTTTCTGTGAATGAACACTCTGGGTTCAGTTTCCTGTTGACATGAAGGGTAGAGGGAAGAAAAGGTGGATAGGGGAGGACAGTGAGGTTTAAGGCAATTCAAGAGTCACGTTGGATATAACTCGTCAGCTGTAGAGGTATTCTGTAGAGGTACCATTTCTTGGGGTACCAGTTTGTGTGTCTTGTTCCCTTTATTGGCAGCTTCTTTTCTGTGAATGAAAACTCTGAGTTGAAACGTGGAGGGGAACAAGAGCTTGCCAAGACCGGGAAGGGGATAATTTGGTCTTTGTCAGTTCGCAACAAGCAGCATGGGGAGGAATGGTATCAGAGCACGAAGAGCATGAGGAGCATGAGGAGCATGAAGAGCATGAGGAGCATGAAGAGCATGAAGAGCATGAAGAGCATGAAGAGCATGAAGAGTCTTGACAGAGCATGGGATTGCAAGAGGGGAGGGGGGAGGAGGAAGAGAAGAGCTTACCAAGACTGGGAAAGGGTAGCGAAGCGGAGGCATGCGGAAGAGTGTGCTAGTGCTGATGCGCATGCGCACAAAGCCACTGGCGTTGGCCACAGGCTCATAGGATGGGACCGAGGGATGGGCGCTGGTGAGAAGGAAGAGAGGGAAGGGAGAGAGGGGGAGAAGGAAGAAGGAATTTGTTTTCATGGATGCTCATGCTCATGCTCATGCTGCTGATGATGATGCGCACAAAAGCCAACAGCCTTGGCCACGGGATTGCAGGGTGAGACGGAGGGATGGGCGCTGCTGGGAGGGCAGAGAGGGTAGGAGAGAAAAATATCTTTGTGCAATACATAATCTCAGATAAGACCTATTAGTGAGAAGCAACGAGGTCGCAGGATGGGATGTGATGAGATGGGATGGAGAGACAATAAGGAGGGGCAGGAGCAGGCTGGGAAGTGAAGGGAATGGAAGTGAGAGAGGGAATTGAGACAGGGAAGTGAGACAGGAGGAAGTTACAAGCAGCAAGAACATACACACCTGTTGTGACGTCCCAAGAGACAACGGAGCAAGTAGATACACACCTGAGAAGGTATGAGAAGTTGGATTGGGAGAGCTGGGAGAGAGTGAGGCCCTCCTGCTTGGAGTAGCTGCAGTGGGAAGAGATGCAGAGGGATGGGAAGGTATGGTAAGGGGTGGGAAGGGATGGGAAGGGATGGGCAGGGAGATGAATTTGTGTGTGCTGGATTGGAAGAGCTGGGAGAGTGAAAGGCCCTCCTTCTTGGAATAGCTGTGGTGAGGTGGAGGGGAGAGCTGGGACGGGAGACCGGAAGGGAGATGGAGAAGGGAGATGGGACCAGAAGAAGGCGTGACATGGCGAAATTTGAGGCGTCTCAAAAGGACTGGACGGCGTGAGGTGATGAGTGAGGTGATGAATGAGGTGATGAATGAGGTGATGAATGAGGTGATGAATGAGGTGATGAATGAGGTGATGAATGAGGTGATGAATGAGGTGACATACACTTCACTACTGGATTTGCATGGCGCAAAAAGGTACCTCCAGGGCGCTGGCAGCTGGGTGAATCTAAGTTTTGAGGCGCCTCAAAACTAGACTTCTCTCACGCAATTTTTGAGGCGCCTCAAAACAAGGTGACATCACCACTGGATCTACACGCCCCCGAAAGATACCTCCAGGGCGCTGGCAGTTGGGTGAATCGGGAGAATCCGGTCATGGCTGGAAGCACGTCCACATGCACTGAACCTGGCTCGTGGCCCACTGGTGTTCCCGGGGTATGAGGAGAGGTGGAAGTGAGAGGCGGGACAGAGAGGGATGAGCTTTGAGGCGCCTAAAACGTCCACATGCAGTGAACCTGGCTCACGACACGACCCACAGGCGTTCCCAGAAGTAGAAGGACAGAGGGAAGTGGAAGGTGGGACGTAGAGGAGGGGTGAGGTGAAGGAGAGAGGAACGGGGGAGAGGAAAAGGGGAGAGGAAAGGGGCGAAGGAGGGAAAGAATGGGGGAGGAGGAAATGGGGAAGAAAATGGGGGAGATGGAGAAGAGAAGAAATGAAGGGGTGGTGGTGGTGTAGAGTAGACTAACACTTATGCAGTCAAAGGCAGAAAGGCAAAAAGGCAAAAAGGCAGGAGCAGCAGTGATGAAATGGATAAGAGGGAACACAACGAAGTGGAATGCAGGCAAATGGGAGGGAAAGAGAAGCAGAAACGAGAAGCAGGTAGGGACCTTTTTGTTGGAGCAGAATTGCAGCAGCGCCGCCAGGATAGTTTCGGTAGGATGCGAGGGCGAAGAGGGAGGAGAGGAGATAGCTGCATGGGGAAGGAGGGTTTCAAGGAAGAAGAATTAACGGATGGAAAGAAGGAATCACGAGCTTCAAAAGACTTCTGAGAATATAAAAGAGCAAGAAGAGCAGGAAGCAGGAAGCAGGAAGCAGGAAGCACAGCGCAGTCGATACTTGAGTCACTGCGTGCTCTGACTCAAAAATAGCATCGTCACTTACCGGACAACTCGAGCAAGCAGGAGTAGTGGACGTGCAATTATGAAAGTTTCACAAAGGTCGCACGAATCCCAGAAGATGCCGATTTTTGACTCGACTCAAAAATCGACTCACAAAGGTCGCACGAATCCCAGAAGATGCTCAGAAAAAGAAGAAGTTATACAAGCAGAGCAAGGCCGCACCTGACAGCCCGAGCAACTTTTGAGGCGTCTCAAAAGTACAAGCACAGCAAGGTCACCTCTCGACTCACCTGACAGCCAGAGCAAGCAGTGCTAGCGGACGTGCGACTCTGCCAAGGGTCCTGCTGATGCCGCTGCTGCCAGCTGTGGCTCGCAATAGCACCTGCCTGGAAGGTTCGTACGGTCAGGGAAATGTGGCTGAGTAGCTGAATAAGTAATGCTTCGGAACTGAGCCACAAGTAGGTGGCTGTTTTTGAGTCGACTCAAAAACGGACTCATCACACGCAGCTGAATAAGTAATGCTTCAGAACTGAGCCACAAGTAGGTGGCTGTTTAGGCTTCTCAGGGACCACCAGACGACGTCTAGAGTTAAGGGAAGAGAGTGAGTGAGGGAGAGGCGAAATGGAACTTACTTGGACGGACGGACAGATGGCACTTAGTCTTACTAGAGCACGGGAAGCAGAGAGGAGGAAGAGAGGAGGAAGAGAGGAGGAAGAGAGGAGGAAGAGAGGAGGAAGAGAGGAGGAAGAGAGGAGGAAGAGAGGAGGAAGAGAGGAGGAAGAGAGGAGGAAGAGAGGAGGAAGAGAGGAGGAAGAGAGGAGGAAGAGAGGAGGAAGAGTGGAGGAAGAGAGGAGGAAGAGAGGAGGACGAGAGGAGGAAGAGGGGAGGAAGAGGGGGGGAAGAGTGCCAAGCCTGAGTCTATTTCTGAGGCGCCTCAAACATAGCTCAGGCAGATGGACTGAAGCCTGATGGCACTTACAGTCTCACTAGAGCACGGGCAGCAGAGAGGAGGAAGAGCGGCAAGCCCGGGAAGAGAAACCGGAGCTCCTGAGAGAAAGAGCGGTGCGAGGGGGCGGTGAGTGGTGGGGTGAGGAAGCAAAGGCGAGGACGGATATGGGGCTCTTTATTCCACCATTCCACTCTCACGAAAGACCAAGGAAAGAACGACAGAATGAGGAAGGTGGAATGACGAGGCATGAGTTGGATGCGGTGCAGGGTGATTAAGTTTTGAGAGGTCTCAAAACTAGAGGCATGAGTTGGATGCGGTGCAGGGTGATTAAGTTTTGAGAGGTCTCAAAACTAGAGGCATGAGTTGGATGCGGTGCAGGGTGATTAAGTTTTGAGAGGTCTCAAAACTAGAGGCATGAGTTGGATGCGGTGCAGGGTGATTAAGTTTTGAGAGGTCTCAAAACTAGAGGCATGAGTTGGATGCGGTGCAGGGTGATTAAGTTTTGAGAGGTCTCAAAACTAGAGGCATGAGTTGGATGCGGTGCAGGGTGATTAAGTTTTGAGAGGTCTCAAAACTAGAGGCATGAGTTGGATGCGGTGCAGGGTGATTAAGTTTTGAGAGGTCTCAAAACTAGAGGCATGAGTTGGATGCGGTGCAGGGTGATTAAGTTTTGAGAGGTCTCAAAACTAGAGGCATGAGTTGGATGCGGTGCAGGGTGATTAAGTTTTGAGAGGTCTCAAAACTAGAGGCATGAGTTGGATGCGGTGCAGGGTGACTGGAGAGGGGAGTGCAAACAGGGCTGGGGCATGCAATAGGTGACTGGAAGGATGGTGCTGATGATTGCAACAGGTGAGGCATGGTTTGTGATTTGTAATTTTGGATTTTGGATTTTTTGACTCGATTGAAAAGCCAACGCGAGTGTGGCTTGGCTTGGCTTGCCTTATGAGGGAGCAAGGAGTAGAATCCTGCAGACTTGCGGAGAAAAAGAGCAAAGAATTCTCGAGACGAGACTACCCTGCATCCCGCCTTGCCTTGTTTTTTAAGGTGTCTCAAAAAAGTCGTTTTTTGAGACGTCTCAATTCTCGAATCTACCCTGCATCCCGCCTTGCCTTGTGAGGGAGGAAGGAGTAGAGGCCCACGAAGGTGAGTGCTGGCAGGAAGAAGCGCAGCATGCGACGGTCGAGAATTGGACCCAGCTGGGGTGGGCACGGAGAGTGGAGGCAGGGAAGGGGAGAGGTAAAAAGGGAAGGGAAAGGTGAGTAGCAGCAGTGGCTGCAGCAGTGAGACATAGAAAGGAGGGAGCGGGCATTGGGCTGTGCCTGTAACGTGACACAAAATCTTCAGCCCACTTAGACAGCGTGTGTGTGTGTGTGTGTGTGTGTTTTTTTTTTCCCCATACAATTTGTTCAAGCAACCTGCACCCGCCTGCCTGACAGAATAGAACCCGCCTCGAAAAGAGAGTTCTGAGAAATTGAACATGACGTACAAAGGAGAGTGGGTAGGCGAGAAGCAGGGCTCAGGGAAGGGCTTACGTGAAGTACTATCAGTGCGGGCCTCTTTTGAGTCGACTCAAACGCCCAAAGGAGAAAGCAGAAACAAAGGAGGGACTGCTTTCCAGAAGGGTGAGCCATTGACTTGACACGTACAAAGGAGAGTGGGTAGGCGAGAAGCAGGGCTCGGGGAAGAGCTGACGTGAAGTACCAGTGTGGGCTGGACACCTGGATAGGGGAGGGTGCAGGGGAGGGTGCAGGGGAGGGTGCAGGGGAGGGTGCAGGGGAGGGTGCAGGGGAGGGTGCAGGGGAGGGTGCAGGGGAGGGTGCAGGGAGGGTGCAGGGGAGGGTGCAGGGGAGGGTGCAGGGGAGGGTGCAGGGGAGGGTGCAGGGGAGGGTGCAGGGGAGGGTGCAGGGGAGGGTGCAGGGGAGGGTGCAGGGGAGGGTGCAGGGGAGGGTGCAGGGGAGGGTGCAGGGGAGGGTGCAGGGGAGGGTGCAGGGGAGGGTGCAGGGGAGGGTGCAGGGGAGGGTGCAGGGGAGGGTGCAGGGGAGGGTGCAGGGGAGGGTGCAGGGGAGGGTGCAGGGGAGGGTGCAGGGGAGGGTGCAGGGGAGGGTGCAGGGGAGGGTGCAGGGGAGGGTGCAGGGGAGGGTGCAGGGGAGGGTGCAGGGGAGGGTGCAGGGGAGGGTGCAGGGGAGGGTGCAGGGGAGGGTGCAGGGGAGGGTGCAGGGGAGGGTGCAGGGGAGGGTGCAGGGGAGGGTGCAGGGGAGGGTGCAGGGGAGGGTGCAGGGGAGGGTGCAGGGGAGGGTGCAGGGGAGGGTTGGTCGGGGGAATGATTGAGAATGCCGACAAACACCCTGCAATTGGAAGTACGTTAAAAGGGCTGACGTGAAGTACCAGTGTGGACTGGACACCTGGATAGGTTGCAGGGGAGGGATAGAGCGGGGTTAGGTTGGGGTGAAAACGGGGTTAGGTCGGGGTTAGAACGGGGTTAGGTTGGGCATTTGGCCACTCCCCCTTGCCAATACACTGTAATGCACCTTACTGCACCGCGATACACCGCACCACATACATCACATCAAAGACTGGTGTGGCACGTACCCCGCATTCGGAGCTCTTGTTGAGCGCGGCGTTAAAAGAGAACCGTACCTTTTGGCCAGAGGGGGAAGCGCCACCACAAGACACCCTCGATTCTTCCCCTCCACTAGACCCCACTTTACCGCACTGCACCGCACCATGCACAGCAGATCAGAGCTCCCCCAGTGGCATGTACCCCCCATTCGGAGCTTTTGTTGAAAGCGGTGTTGAAAAAAAGCACCGTGCCTTCCGGCCAGAGGGGGAAGCGCAGCCACAAGACATTTGTACGGCACAATCTTCTACTCGCACCTCAATACACCTCACTACACCGCACTGAACCGCACCATAGCCCACAACATCCTACTGCACCGCACTAAACCATACCAAATAGATCACAAGGCGGGCGGCACGTACCCCCCACTCGGAGCTCTTGTTGAGAGCGGTGTTGAAAAAAAGCACCGTGCCTTCCGGCCAGAGGGGGAAGCGCCGCCACAAGACAGAGTCCACTGATACCGTGAGCACTGTGGAAAACAGGGGGAAAGTGTGGGAGAATGGGGGAGAATGGGAGAAAGTCATGAGGAGGGGAGGAGCAGAAGTGCACTCAAGAACAGCCACGGGACAGAGTCCACTGATATTGTTAGCACTGCGAAACACAGGAGAAAGTGGGGGAGAATGGGGGAGAATGGGAAGAGGAGGGGAGGGGCAGAGGTGCACTCAGAAGCAGCCACAATACAGAGTCCACTGATACCGTCAGCACTGCGGAAAACAGGGGGAAAGTGGGGGAGATTGGGAAAGGGGGAATGGGGGGAGGGGGTGCGGCAGACACAGCAGCAGTGCACTCAGAAGCAGCCACAATACAGAGTCCACTGAGACCGTCAGCACTGCGGAAAACAGGGGAAAGTGGGGGCGATTGGGAAAGGGGGAATGGGGAGAGGGGGTGCGGCGGACACAGCAGCAGTGCACTCAGAAGCAGCCACAATACAGAGTCCACTGAGACCGTCAGCACTGCGGAAAATATGGGGAAGTAAAGGAGGGGAACATAGGGAAAAATAGGGGAGAATGGGGGAGAAAGGGATAGGAGGGGAGGAGCAGGAGCGCAGTCAGAAGCAGCGAGAAGACAGATTTGACTGCTGCCGTGTAGGATTGTGGGAGAACAAGAGTATCAACAGAAGGAGACTTTTGAGTCGACTCAAAAGTCGACTGCTGCCGTGTAGGATTGTGGGAGAACTGAATGGGTATCAACAGAAGGGCGAGTGGGGACGGCGGAATGGGGAAGGGGGACGGACGGGGGAATGGGGGAGGAGTGAAGCCGGAATGGAGAAGGGGGGAACGGGGTGCGGGCGGGAAGCAGCAGGAATGCAGTCAGAAGCAGCGAGAAGAGAGAGTCCATTGGCATCGACATCACTGCAGGAAGACTTTTGACTCAAAAGTCAGAAGAGAGAGTCCACTGGCATCGACATCACTGCAGGAAGGGGGATTGCAATAGTGGGCCGAGGGGGGAGTGGAAGGGGGGGATATAGGGAGAGAGGAGGGGATTGGGTAGGCAGCGCAGTAGGAGTGCACAATTCCACAAAGAGGTGGTTTTTGAGGAAGGCGCCTCAAAAACCACCTCAAGGCAGCGCAGTAGGAGTGCACAATTCCGCAAAGCAAGCATACAGGACAGAGGATAGAAGCGCACAAGAACAGATAGAGGAGAGAGTGTGTGAGTGGAGTGTGAATGATCCTGGTGGAAAGAAAGTGTGTGGAAACCCACTTGTGTGCACACTTACTCAGACTAGCTATGCCGGTCAGGACACATGTGAACACTGCAAAGAAAAAGCCGATTGACCGAGTCTGTAGCAAGGAAAGGGCAATACGGAGAGGTGAAGTAAGAAAAGGAACAACACCAAAAGGCAATAGGAAAAAATGTTCATCACAAAAAAGGTTTCATACAAAAAGGATCAATGCCAAAAGGGTCAACACAAAAAAGATCATTACGAAAACGTTCATAAAACGGACAGTTTTAGAAAGGAAAGGTAACAAAAGGACAGGTTCAAGAAACAGGTGGGATGCTTGGTTTTGAAAAAGGAGAGAGGGTACTAACGAGCAGTAAGGAGAGGCCGATAGGGGCAAGGAGTATGAGCACATCACATCGGAAGACAACAAATGCAAAGACCTGTGGGGGCGATGGAAGGAAAAGGGAAGGAAAAGGAAAGGAATGGAATGTCGGGGAGAGAAGAAAAGGGACTGCTTTTGAGGCATGTGAAGAAGTGCGTAAGCACATCGCATCGGGAAGACAACAAAAGCAAAGACCTGTGAGAGATGGACGGGAGGGGAAGGGAAAGGGAGGGCGAGAGGAGGGAAGGGAGAAGAAAAGAGCAGGCAAGAACATGGCATGGGAGGGCAACACATGCACAGACGTGCAAGAGAGACAGAAGGAAAACGGAAGGGAAGGCGAGGGAAGGGAAGGCAAGGGAAGGGAAGGGAGAAGAAAAGAGCAGGCGAGCACATAGCATGGGAGGGCAACACATGCAACGACGTGCAGGAGGGAGAGAGTGCAAGCACAAACAGAAAACGCCTGAACGTGCAATGTAAATTTGGTGGTTTTTTTAAGGCGCCTAAAAAATCACCTCTGTTCAATCAATATTCACTCGCTTGAACTTACCAGTGTCTGCAAAGCTTGTGCGGCCTTGCCCTTAATCCAGTAGGTGAATGCCAGGTTGGCTGTGGGGGCGAGGTAAGTAAGACGCAGGGGGATGCAGAAGAATGGGGTGAACGAGTGAGTGAGTCTGTCTGTCCATCCGCCTGTCTGCTGCCTGTCTGCTGCCTGTCTGTCTGCCTGTCTGCTGCCTGTCTGTCTGCCTGTCTGCCTGCCTGTCTGGCTGCTTGCAAAAGTCTGATTTTGAGGCGCCTCAAAACTGTGAGTCTGTCTGTCCATCCGCCTGTCTGCCTGGCTGCCTGCCTGTCTGGCTGCTTGGAAAAGCATCTTTGAGGCGCCTAAACTGTGCATACACACACACGCCAAGGGAGCAAGAGTAAGAGCGTCTAGAGCCACCAAAGACGGTGCAGTAACACATAAGGGTGCCAGCCGAGTGGTTGGAGGTTCGGAAAATTGGCTGGAAACACGGTGCCGAGCAGTGCCGAGCAGTGCAAAGCGGTGCAGAGCAGTGCAGAGTGGTGCAGAGCAGTGAAGATTAGTTGCAGGCGCGCAGCACATAGCATACCGAGGGCAAGAGCAAAGACGTTGGGGAGGGGGCGAGAGGCGTAGAAGGGCAGGTGGAACTGGGATAGGAGCAGCAGGGCAAAGTATCTCGCCGTTGGGGTGCCGAAGGTAGTGGCGATCTGAGGGCGGATGGAGGAAGAGAGGGAGCGAACAAGAAAGAGGGAGGGAGAAAAGAGTAAGGAGAAAGAGAAAAGCTTTTGTTAAGGAGGGCTCAGTGAGCCAAGTATATCGCTGTTGGGGTGCCGAAGGTAGTGGCGATGTGAGGGTGGATGGACGGAGGGAGGAATGGTGGAGGGGTGAAGAGTGGGAGGGGGAGGGAGCGGGGGAGAGGGAGCAAGGGAGTGGGTTCCGAGAAGGAAGTGGAGGGAAGAGGGAGCAAGGATTTGTGAGGATTCTTGGGGAACAAGCAAGTATGAGCAAGGAAGGGGAAGGAGACTCCATTGAGCAGATTAATGACGTATGAGATTTTGGGAGCAGCAATCGAGTGAGAGCGAGGTGCGGTGTGGTGCGGTGCAGGGTGTGGTATGTTCTGGTGCGGTGCGGTGCGGGGAGAAGCGATGGGACGAGACGGAACGAGGGGGAACAGGATGGGAAGTCACCTTGCATGACATGGCATGTGTCGCTCGCAGTAATAGCAGGTTACATTACATGATGACACCCTTACACCATGCCATCCTTTGTGTAAAACACGTAGACATGTAGAACACGCAGCTGGACAGGGAACCCTCACTTGCCGTCGACGCAAGTAGAAGGAGAGAAAGACAAGGAACCCAAGTAGTTCACATGCCTATCATGCCTTCCTTTCATGTGTGAAAAACACGTCCGTAGGTGGACACCTCACCTGCCGTCGAAGCATGTAGAAGGAGAGGAAGACAAGGAACCCAAGAGTGCCGCGCACTGCATGGCAGAGGCAGAGGCAGATAGACGGGTGCAAGCATAAGTACATGCACATACACGTATCCACAGCTTTTGAGTCGACTGAATAAGTACATGCAGATACACCTATCCACAGGCGCACAAGCACATCACTGGGAAAGTAAGCTGTGCAAGTCAAAGCGCACCTGACTAACTATTACCTACCAATAACGAGTGCTGTGATCTTAGAAGCACCAAACAGGTGAGTGATAGCCACTAGGGGGGATGATAGCCCTGCCACTAGCAAGGATCCTGGTACGGGGCAGAGTGAGGGGAAGAGAGGGAGGGGAGCGATGAGAGGAACGGAACGGTGATCTTAGAAGCACAGAACAGGTAATCATAGCCACTAGAGGGGATGATAGCCCTGCCACCAGCATGGCTCCTGACAGTGGGCAGCGTGAGGGGAAGAGAGGGAGGGGAGAGGGTGGAAGGGAGTGGGGGAAGAGGGAGGGGAGACGGAGGGAGGGGAGACGAAGGGAGAGGAGGATGAGGTTGAAGAGGGGAAAGGTGTGGGAAAAGAGGGGAAACGAGAAGGCTAACAGGGAAGGGGCGTGGGAGAAGAACCCAGGGAAGGGCGAGTCGGAAGAGAATGCTATGGGGGCGTGTAATTAGTTTCCAAATACGCCAAGGGAGGAGAGAGAGAGAGAGAAGGGAGAGTGATGCACCATTAGAGAGGGAAAGGGAGAGGGAGAGGGGGGAGGGAGGGAGGGAGGGAGTACACACCGAGGAACGTTCGAGGCACCACGCCCGGGAACTCAAAGTGATCGTACTGTTTGTGCCCGAATGAATAGCAGCAAGGGAAGAGGTAGGGGCACACGGAAGGGAGGAAGTGGGTGGGTGGATGGGAGGAGTTGGGTTCTGAGGTGCCTCAAAACCCGAAGAAACGTTCGAGGCACCACGCCTGGAAACTTAAAGTGGTTGTACTGTTTGTGCCCAGATAAGTGACAGCAAGGGAAGAGGTAGGGGCGAAGAGAGGGGGGAAGTTGGTGCGCGCATGAAAGGGAGGAGTGAGGTGTGGTGGGGTGCGGTGGGGTGGGGTGGGTGTGATGGGTTTGAATCGAAAAGTGTGCATACGTTCACTCTTCACACGTGAACATGAATTTTTAAAAGTCGTGTACACACATACAGACAGGCAGACAGACAGACACCCACCATTACATGGTAACCCGAATAGCGGCAGATTTACGGGTGCTTGCTATGCTAGGACCGATGCACATGGTGATTCATGATCTGACGTGACAGGGAGTCCACGTGGCAGAGCGTTCACATGCTCTGGCTGACGTGGCAGAGCAGGAATGGCAAGCAGTACCTGAGACAGGTGGAATCTGTGGAAGAGCAGATCGTGCATGGCCTGGCATGGGACATGGGGGAAGGGCGGTAGGGGGAAGAGGGATAGGGGAGAGGGATAGGGGAGAGGGATAGGGGGAGAGGGATAGGCGAGTGAGACAGAGGTGAGCGTATGGCCTGGGCCAGGTGGAATCTGTGGAAGAGCAGATCGTGCATGGCCTGGTGTGGGAGAGGGGGGAGAGTGGGGAAGAGGGATAGAGGGAGAGGGAATGGGGGGAGAGACGGATTGGCAAGTGAGTCAAAGGCGAGTGATGCTGCTGCTGCTGCTGCTGCTGCTGCTGCTGCTGCTGCTGCTGCTGCTGCTGCTGCTGATGATGATGATGATGATGATGATGATGATGATGATGATGATGATGATGATGATGATGATGATGATGATGATGATGATGATGATGATGATGGTGCTGCTAATGAGGGTCATCCCAGGGGTGATGGTGATGATTCCGAAGCTCTCCTACCAACCAGGGGTGAGCGCGCAGAGCACTCTCTCTGTCTGTCTCTACTCGCCTGCACGTTGAAGCTCTCTTCCACCTTGGTGACGGGCGCCCACCACACGTGCGCCCATATCACCGCCAGCAACGCCACGTCCCACACTGCATGTGTGAGTGTGCGAGAGCGTGAGCGAGTGAGGGAGTGAGAGAGAGAGAGTGTGTGTGTGAGTGAATTAGTGAGTGAGACACGGCGTAGAAGGAAGGAGGGTACGGTTATTGAGCTCTGTTGCTGTTTGAGCTCGGAAACATAAAAGGAAGGAGGCTGGAAATATACCCTAGGAGGATTCTTTCTTTGGCGGCTTGAAAGTAGGCTCCTTTTCTACGGCTTAGACTAAAGAGGAGGGCAGACGAGGAGAGCGGTTAATGGTGGCGAGTGAATATGAGCCGGGGAATGCGGGAGAGGCGAGACGGGATGGAGGAAGGGTGGGTTAGGGAGATGGAAAAAGACGAGGCGGGGATAGAGGGAGCTGCGGTAAGGGGAAACGGGTCTTTGAAAAGGGGCGACGACGACGACGACGACGACGATGGAGGACGATGGAGGACTAGCAGCTAGCAGCAGGGATGGCGCGAAATGCATGTGTGCTTGAAGGCGGCTCAGAATGCGTCGGAATGGCGCGGAATGCGGAGCGAGACGAAGGTAGGAGAACACGAGAGCACGCGACGCACCATCCACGGGGATGCGAGCTTCCCTGGTAGGATCCGATTGGCTCGCCGACCTCAGACCCATGATGCCGCCACGACTGCCACTGCCGCTGCCACTGCCGCTATCGCCTAGCGTAAGACGGAACAATTATAATAGCACGCTACCACGAGAAAAATAAGGTGGAAGGAAAGCGCCGAGCGGGTCCTGTTCACTGATAAATGACTGACAATTCCACAGCTCAGATTATAGTAGATTCCAACATGTGATGAGTGGAAGGAATTTGGATTTTGTACCCGATACTGTTGGCTTTGTGGTCGGTTTGTTCAACACATGTATTCCAAAACAGCGGAAAATTGTGTATTGACATAGATAGTTTAAACCGAATCAAACCGGGGTGCACATTCAGCTGAATGTGCATCAAAGGTTATCCCTTGACTGAGTGGGTTACGAGGTGTGCTTTCAACCCCTTCAAGTCGAAATTCGTTTCCCCCCTCCCCCGCAATTTCGTTTCCCCACGCCCCCGCAATTTCATTTCCCCCTCCCCGTCGAAATTCGTTTCCCCCCTCCCCCGCAATTTTGTTTCCCCCCTCCCCCGCAATTTCGTTTCCCCCCCCTCCCGCCAATCTGTTTCATCCCTCCCGCCATTCGGTTTCACCCACTCCCGCCATTTCACCCCCTCCCGCCACCTACGAAATGCCCGAAGCTCTAGCGGAATCATTTTTTTGTCGCCCCTCGTGAGCCAATCACTGTTTTTCTCCAAACCCCCTTCCCAACATCTCAAGCCGAACCGCGTTGAATGTGCACCCTGGTACCCTGTTCTGTCGTGAGCTGTCAGAAAACTCCCATACACACTTCCTTTCCGCCTCTTCAAGTAGATCGTGTACAGTATCGAGTTTCCCACTAGCGAGTCATATCTTATCCGCTTCACTTTCCCCCAATCCTTCCGACCCTACTGTCAGGACCAGGTGTCATGGCACGCACTCTCGCGCCGCGCGTTCTCCTCGCACGCGACGCTACGACACTAACCATGGAACTTGGAATTTCGACTGGATGTCAGAGATTCGCGCGTCCGGAGGTATCATTGCGATCAGGGCGAATGCTACTATTAGGGCAACCATTGAGTCTCAGTTCTCGCCTTCACTCCCCTATTCGGCGCTGGCCAATAACCGCCTGTAGCAGCAGCAGCAGCAGTTCGCTCGCCGTAACGCTCAGTCCCGCGGAAGATACGCGAATTGCGCGTTTTTTGCGCACTCCGCGGAGTCCGCTGGTTCCGCCTGGCAACTTTGCCAGGGAGGTGAGCAGCTGCCCGCGCATTAGCGCGAAAGGAACGGTAGGCGCAGGAACACGGGAGCGGGTTTCCGCGCGGGCGGCGCAAGGAGGCGGAGGAGGCGGATCGCGGGAAACGGGTGCGGATGAAAAGGGGAGCGGCGGAGGCGGATTGGACGACCTCGATTTTGCCGTGTTCAGATTCACCCTCGGTAGGCTTAGTTGGATGTGTCGATCTGGTGAGGCTAATCTGGCTGGCCACTGGTAAGGCTCATCTGGGTCGGCTCGTCTGGTCCCCTTCCCCACGAACCACTTTCTTCTTCCCCCTTTCTCCCTTCCCCCTTTCCCCCTTTTTCAGCGGATTCCCGTGCCAAACTAACCCCCTTTCACTCTTTGTCGCTCACATAACCTCCCATTCCTCCAGCCCGGGCATCTCCTGGCGTTCAACTAGACTCAGAGCCTACCTCGCTGTCTCTCTCATTCCCTCCTCCTGCTAGGTATCCCCTGGCTGGACGATCGCGGCATTCCCGAGGTGGTTGTTGAAAGCCTCCAAGAATCCACCCCCTTTCTCTTCTGTCGCTCTCACAAACCTTTCCCCCCCTTCCCCAGGTATCCCCTGGTTGGACGATCGCGACATTCCCAGGGTGGTGGGGACGCTGCTGGGTGTGGCGCTGCTGACCAATCACATGCTGACACCTCAGCCCCAACTGCCAGCTCAGACTGTACGTGTGGCCACCTACCACGCAACGCCACGTCACGTCACTTGCATTGCATGTGTGAACAAACGAAACCGCTTCCAAAATGCAAAATCTAGTGTCGGCTGAAAATATCCCTCTCATTGCGCGCGTGTGTGCATACATCGGATGATTCAAATCCGCCTCTCTTTAGCGATCCACCTCACGATCAGGTGAAGAGCCGCAATGCCAGTTCCGTCCTCTCCCTTCTTCACCCCTTCACCCTCTCACTGCGCCCCTGCGTGCATACATCAATTCCGCCTCTCATTGGTGATCTGCCTCACCTCACGATCAGGTGAAAAAAATCAGCAGTGTCATTTCCGTCCTCTCCCTTCTTCCCCCCTGCCAGGTACCAGACTGTGTAGGTAGGAGTGCTGCTGTTTCTCATGTCGCTGCTGCTTCTGCCGTTCATTGAGTTTCGAGAGACGTCTCCCATCTGTTCTCGTCCTTTTCTCTCCCCCCGCCAGGTGTCGGAGTGTGTGGGAGTGCTGCTGATTCTCGTGTCACTGCTACTGCCTTTCATAGATCGGAAGCTGCAGGTGCGTGTGCCTCTGTGTAGGGGTGTGTGTGTGAGGAGGGGGGGAGAAAGTGGGGGGATTGGGGGCGGCTGGTGGGGGTTGGTTGTGGCTGATTCTCGTGTCACTGCTACTGCCTTTCATTGATCGGAAGCTGCAGGTGCGTGTACATGTGTTGCTGTGTTGTGTAGGTCTGTGTGTGTGTGCATGCACTGCGTTTGCACTGTGTGTGTGTGTGTGTGTGTGTGTGTGTGTGTGTGTGTGTGTGTGTGTGTGTGTGTGTGTGTCTGTGTCTGTGTCTGTCTGTGTGTGTGTGTCTGTGCGTATGTGTTTTTGTGTGTGTGTGTGCGCGCGCGCGCACGTGTGCGCACATGCATGGCACTAACTGCATGCATCTGTGCCTGTGCCCGTGTGACTGTGTTTGCATGGTGAGCAGGTGAGCAGTGGAGCAAGACTCACCTCTCCCTCCTCATCCATCTCATCCGCCTCCTCTCCCTCTCTGAAGCCCCTCTTCCTCCTCTCCGACTCTCTCCCTCCATCCCACCAACCTGTATGTGTGCCTGTATGTGCGTGTGCATGCACATGTGAGCAGGTGAGCAGCGGAGCAAGACTCACCTCTCCCTCCTCCTCCTCCTCCTCCTCCTCCTCCTCCTCCTCCTCCTCCTCCTCCTCCTCCTCCTCCTCCTCCTCCTCCTCCTCCTCATCCGCCGCCTCTTCTTCTCTCAAGCCCCTCTTCCTCCTCTCTGACTCTCTCCCTCCATCCCACCAACCTGACATAGCATGGGCCACGTACGCCTCTCTTCGCAACACCAGTGCCACTGCTCTTCTGGTATGTGCTGTACTTCTCAGCTCGTGATGCTCGTGTTTGTTCATGCTTGTATACAATAAACGTTTGTGTAAGCTTGTCCAGGTTTATGTTTTGTGTGTCTGCTTGTATATGTTTGTGCATGCATGCATAATTATGTGTAAGTTTGTGTAACTTCCGATTTTCTGTCTCTAGAGTTCGCAAGTCGTCCCCTTATTCTGCTCTACAATCCTGGCACTATCCACCGCTCTCCACCCCACTCCACCATTCTGTCTGCAGGTTCTAGATTCTAAGCGCGAACTTCTCTGTGCAAGAGGAACCTTCCTGGCATCTGCATGCCAGCCTTCCTCTTCCTCTGCCTCCTCCTCCCCTCCCCTACCCTCCTCCCCCTCCGCCTCCTCGCCATCCCAGCCATCCCCACTGGCATCCCTCTCCTCGCTTCTCTCATCCGCTCTCACCTCCTCTCAGCCACTCAGACAAGCACTAGACTCTTCCCTTGCAGCTTCACCAGCACCATCGTCATCACCATTCCCACCGACCGTACTCCTATCCTCCTCATCGCTCTCTGCCCTCTCCTCCTCCATCTCCCCTTCTCGATCCGGACTCCTCATCCCCCTCACCTCTGTTAATCAAGCGAGCAGCAGCAGCAGCAGCAGCAGCAGCAGCACCCCTCCCTCTGTAGCCCTCCCATCAGTGTCAGGGGCTCTTCTTATTCTGTCAGATGCTCCAGATGCCTTCACTCCTGCTGATCGCCGCTGGCTTGCTGCTCTCGCTGCACGCATGCACGCCCTTCTCTCTTCCCCCTCATCAACTTCGTAACCTTTGTCTGCTGCTCTCGTTGAGTCGACTACCGGTACTCAAAAACTTGGCTGCTCACAGGGATGCGCTTCTGATCCTGCATCTCCATCTTCCTAACTTTCTGTGCTCTTCCCTTGTCTCGCCTTCCTCTCTTCGCCCTCCTGCTTTTCCTCCTGGTATTCAGTTCTCCCGTCACCCTTTCCTCTTCTCTCTTCTTTGTGCTCCTCTTCTTCCTCCCGTTCTTTCTTCGTTGCCCCTATCCATGTGGGTACTGGCGTTAAGGCAGAAGCATGGCTACCATTTATCAGATTTTGAGCTGCCTAGAAAACAATTACGTATGCCTGTCTCACTTTCTGAGCCGCTTTGTGTTTTGTCGGTAACCATTTAATTGTCCTTCCTGGCAACTCCATTTAGCATTACCGCATTTTCCTGTACCTGGGGACTTCATTAAAGCATTGAAAAATTGCTAGGGTGAACATCACGGAGAATGGAACTAGATAAGTGTCAAGAAAGGAAGTGATGATCTCATTGATGTGAGTTGGGGTACATATAACAAACCCTAACTTCTGTACCCCCTAAGACAAACCTCACTATAGGCTACAACATTTGACACACCCCCATAGCCTAAGTGAGGGGTGTCTAGCAAAACCAAAAGTGTACGGTCACAAGACCAGTCACAAAGAAACAAAGCTCAGGGTGGATCACAACGTCACCACACACTCTGAGCACAAGCAACAGTGGCCACAAGGCCAGTCCAAGAGTTCACAAGTGTGTATAGCAAGAGTACAAGCAAACCAAACAGTAAACTCAAGCCTATACACGACTAGAACCTGTGTCAACAAGGCCTAACTGCACACAACACCTCTGGTAGTCACAAGGCGGAAGCGCCTTGGTGAAGATGTCTGCAGTGTTGGCCTCAGACTCCACAAACTCGAAGCGAACTTGTCCACGTCTCTGCAACTCTCGCAGAAGAAACTACCTGACGTTAATGTGCTTCACTCTGCTCTCCAGTCGCGGCTCTCGACAAAGGAGAATCGACGCCTTGTTGTCAGTGAACAAGGTCGGTGCAGAGCTCCGCCGCTCACCAAGGTCGGCGAGCAAGAAGGTCAACCAACGCAGCTCCTGTGCCGCCATGGCACCAGCGTAGATCTCAGCCTCAGCTGTAGAGGTCGAGACCGAAGAGGAGCGTGTGGGCCGCCACGAAACAGCTCCAGAACCCAAGCTGAAACAGTACCCCTGAGTAGACCTATGAGTCTCAGCGTCGTCAGCGTAAGAAGAGTCACAGTGACCAGTAAGTACGACAGGCTGCTGCCCTCCAAGAACTAGCCCCACGCCTGATGTCGTCGCTAGGTACTTCGCCACCCTCACAGCTGCCGTCCAGTGAACAGGACGGTGTCTCCCTGGCGCAACAAATCGAGCAAGGATGCTGAGAGGGAAGGCGAGGTCCGGGCGAGTGCAAGTCATCAGGTACATGAGGCAGCCCACCAGCTCTGCGTAGGGACCACTAGACTCAAACGGCTCGTCAGGAAAGGTTCCAGTAAGTCTGTGGTCAACAGCAAGAGGTGTGCGCTGTACTGTGGAGTGCTGAAGCTCGAACCGCTGAAGGACCTGCTGCACCATGTGTGACTGTGAGAGTGTAATGGTGCGAGCAGCTCTGTCCCTGGTGATCTGCAGGCCAAGGTAGTGGCGCAGCTCATCAAGGTCAGTGCACGCGTGTCTCTTCTGCAGTTCGGACTTCACGTCTGCCAAGGCAACCCTCTCAGCAGTGGCGAAAACCAGGTCGTCGACGTAGACCAGAACAAAGAACGGTGTGGAGCCACGACGAACGAGCAGCGACGGGTCGGCAGAAGACGGCTGGAACTCAAGGTCAGAGAGGGTAGAACGAAGAGTGTCGTGCCACTCACGAGGAGCCTGACGAAGACCGTAGACAGGTCGCCTCAGCCTCCTCACGGGCACGGCGAACACGAGCCTGGTGCCGGATCGGGTAGGGGTGGGGGGGAGGAGTAGTGTCGGGGGCTGCGGCAGCCCCGGGATCGCCCTCCAAAGCACCTGGCGCACCACCCCCAGAGTCAGCACCACCAACAGCAACACGACCAGGCTCACCAGGACCCGAAGAGGGTGCACCCGCACCCCCCAGACGTAGCACCCCCAAAGTCAGCAGGACCAACACCAGCTCCCGGAAGACAAGAGTCTCCTGCAACCATGGGCTCAGCTCCAACTCCAGCGCCCCCAGAGCTAGCACCTGTAGGGCCCTCTCCACGAGCACCGGCTCCCGCAGGGTCTGCAGCAGGCTGCGAGGAGGACTGCGAGGAGGACTGTGGGGAAGGAGGCTGCACCTGAGGGGCTACCGAGGGGGGAGTGGTAGCCTGGGACACACCTGACGGGGCGGGACCAGGGGGGGGAGGCTGTACCGGGGGAGCAGGAGGGGGAGCGGAAGTCAGGAAGAGAGGGGGAGGAGGAACCGGGAGACCTCGACTGGGGTACCTGACGTAGTAGGGGGTGGACTCCTCGAAACGGACGTCACGGGAGTCAAAGAACCGGTAAGAGGGAGGGTGGTAAAAGGTGAAGTAAGAGGAGTCCTCAAGGAAACCAAGGAAGACACAGGGAACGGCGCAAGGCGAGAGCTTGTCCGCGGAAGTGTCGCGGACAAGAGTCAAGCAACCCCAGGTACGGTAGGTGGTACGATACGGTACGTACATAGCATGCCAGCCTGCATGTCGCCAGAATTGGCAACAGGGCTAATTTTTGGTTTTGAGCAACCCTTATGATCAGTGCTGCACCCAAGCAAAAACCTGATTATCAATATAACCCAGTAGGAAATTTCTTTTGCATCAGGGTTCAGGCTAGGTTTGAAAATTTTACCCTGAGGCATCAGTGTAAGACTTGTAAAAACCCTGCTCAGTTATTGTTACAATGAGTTTAGTCCGAGTTGAGTCCTTGGCGTTGTGTAGAGCGAAACTGTATTTCTGGCCAATAGTGGCCCACTTCGTGCCAACACATGTACGCAAATTCAGGTTTTGACAGTTGGCCAACGGGAATCCCCGAGTTACGGGAAAGTGGGGGGAGGTCCGGGGGGGGGGGGGGGGGGGGGGGGGGGGGGGGGGGGGGGGGGGGGGGGGGGGGGTGTGGTACGGTACTAGCTTCAGGGTAAAACTCGCTAAGAAGAACGGTTACCCTGGTGCATCAGTGTGCCTTAAACGTATACCCTGGCTGATCAGGAAAATCACAGCTCCAAAAAAAAATACCCTGAGGCATCAGTGTGACTACCAAAAACCACCCTGATAATTAGGGTATCAGGGTGATTTACACTGAAAATTTGGCCTGATTGGCAAAGATGCCATGCCATGCCCTGCCATGCCATGTTACACCATTCCACCCACCAGTATGAAAAACACTGGGTAAAGAAACACGTGTTGGGTTACATCAATGCCATCATGATTAGCAAGACAAAATATGACCCACGCCCCCCCACACTCCCCCATTCCTCCCTTAAGCCCCTCAACCTGCTTGCCTTCTCCTCTCTTGTAGCCGATTCATGCAGTGACTGCTGCTACTGCTGCTGCTGCTGCTGCTGCTGCTGCTGCTGCTGCTGCTGCTGCTGCTGCTGCTGCTGCTGCTGCTGCTGCTGCTGCTGCTGCTGCTGCTGCTGCTGCTGCTGCTGCTGCTGAGCCGCCATTGCCTGTGACTTGCGACGGCGGCGGTTGTGTCCCAGGAGGCGCATGCGACAGCTGCGCCTGCCCTCGTCGAATTCAGCCAGCGCGTGGAACCTGTGGCGCGAGGAGGGAGGAGTTGTGGGAGGGATAGAGGAGGTGGGGATGAATGGACGGTTTGAGGCGCATGCGACAGGGAGGGAGGGAGGGAGGGAGGGAGGGAGGGAGGGAGGGAGGGAGGGAGGGAGGGAGGGAGGGAGGGAGGGAGGGAAAATTTTCGAAACGAGTGAGCAATGAGATTGATAGGGAGAGGAAGAGAAGCAGAGGGCGATGGAAGGAATGAGGGAATGAGAGGGAGTCTGAGAAGAGGTAGAAAGCGACATCAGAGGGCGAAGAAGCATTCGCTAAGCGAGAGTGCGGCAGAGGAAGATGAAAAAAGTTCGGAGATAGCGGAAATTGCTGCATAATTCTAAATCCCACCTGCTGCATTGCTGGCAGAAGCGTTGGGCTTGGCCCCCCACAGGAACCGTGGCCGCTTTGGAGTGCTTGTCGCACACGCGGTGCCGGCGATAATACTCCTTCTTCTCATGGTTCAGATCCGCGCTGCACCCCTCCGCCTGACAAACCATTGCTGGAGGGTTTGCGCTGTTGTCACTTGATTGTGCTGCTGCTGAAGGGGATACCAGGGGGGATGATGATGGGGAGTGCAAGATTGGAGTGAATTCCACCCGTCTTCTCTTGCTGGATGTTTCCTGAAATGCTGGTAATCTTTGCTGCTGCTCCTGCTGCTGCTGCTCCTCCTCTTCCAGTGGTCTCAGCTGCTGCTCATCCTGCGGTGTTCTCTGCTCATGCTGTTGCAATGGTTTCTGCTGCAGCAGCTGGTGCTGCTGCAGCTCCTGTAGTTGCTCCTGCTGCTCCCAATTCAGCCGCCGCTCCCGCCGCCGCCGCTGCTGCTGCTGCTGCTGCTGCTTCTGTTCTCCCTGCTGCAATTGTTGCTCAAGAAGAAGTTGTAAGTCAAGCTCCTGAGTGGTCCCATCCAACAGCCCAACAGCCCGGATCTCCTGTGAAACCTCGGCACTATCACCATGTGCTATACTCTCGTCCTGGTCTAACGCATTCCGCAGCAGCTCAGCAATCTCTGAAACAGTCAACCCCTTAGCACCTGGATGTTCCATATCTTCACCTGGCTGTATGACTGTGTGAGGTGAGGCAGGAGACAACAGGCCTCCTGGTGGGAGGGCTACACCAGAAGTGCTGCCCGCTGCTGCTGCTGCTGCTTCTACTGCTGCAACTGCTATTGGTGGTGTTTCGTGTGTGTGTATGAGGAGGGGGTTGACGGGGTTGGAGGCGCAGATGGGAGGATACATTTGTGCAGCGCTGATACCATGAAAGTCTTCAACAGAGGAGAAAAGCTCCATAATATCAGTAACAGAAATATGGCCAGTGCTGACAGGTGCAGTGATGCCAAAGCCACCACGCACGCTCTCTCTAACCCCAGGAGCCTCAGCACCGCCAGCGGCAACCCCAGCAGAGCCTCCTATCCCAGCAGAGACACCAGCGCCGTCCCCACGCAGCAAGCTTCCTTCAGTAGCTTCCCAGATGTCACTGCTAGCAGCAGTAGCAGCTGCTGCTACCACTGTTCTTCGAAAGTGCTCTTGCTGGAGGTGGAGCTCTGAAGCAGCTAATGATTCAGCGAGGGACAGGTGTTGCGCAGCAGTCGTGTGGAGACCTGAGGGGATGGAAGCAGTAGTAGCAGCGCCACTTGGCCGGCTTACCCCAGCAGTAGCCATGTGGAGACCTGTGGGGATGGAAGCCGTAGGCATAGGCTTGCCACCGCTGAGGTCTTCAACTTTTAACGGAAGATCTGACATCGCCTGCTGCTGTTGCTGATGCTGTTGCTGATGCTGCTGCTGCTGCGGTTGCTGTAGATCATTATAGCGCTGCTGCTTCCTTTGATTCTGCTGCTGTTGCTGCTGCTGCTGCTGCTGAGTGTGACGATTACATTGCTGATATTGCTGCTGCTGCTGCTGCGGCTGCTGTTGCCCTTGATTCGGTTGCTGCTGCTGAGTGCGACAATCACATTGCTGATACTCGTACTTCACCATTTGGAGCTGCTGTTGCTGCTGCTGCTGCTGATCCAAATCCTTGATTCGCTGTTGGCCTTGACCCCGGGGAAGCACTGGTCCCACAAATGGCAGCACATCAAACAATGCCTGACTGCTAATTGAGAGGGTGGATTTCTTGCTGCTGGTCGCAGTGTTTGCAGCTGTTGCTGATGCTGCTGCTGCTGCTGCTGCTGCAGCCGCCGTTGCTACAGCATCTGCTGCTTCTGTGGGAGGAAACAATGGGCAAGAGGGGGGTCCGTCTGGTACTTTTAGATGGAGGAACCCACGGGGCTGGGATGGGTGAGGAAGCACAGGCAAGCTCAGAGAGTGAGTGTCGGTTAAAGAGGATGCAAAGCCAGGAAGAGGCGGAACGGTTGTAAAGAGGGAATCCTTGGATATGGGAAAGGGAGAGAACGAGTTCAAATGAGGGGCATGAGGCAGAGGCGAGACAGAAGGCTGGTGTGAAAGGAGGGGCTGAAAGTGGTTAGTGTGAGGTGTTGAGCCCTGATGCTGGACCTGCGTCACGGGTCCTGAGGCACTCCCACCTGCTTCATCATAGTCTGTGAAATGCTGTTGTTGCTGCGGTTGAAACTGCTGCTGCTGCTGCTGCTGCTGCTGCTGCTGCCAACAATTGCACTGAGGCTGTGAGCAATAGTCGCTCCCTCCACCCCCCAATGGCCCACCCTCCATTCTCCCATGCCTTGCACCAGAAACTACACACAGGGATGCCGGATCACAAGCCCACGCTGATCCTTCTACACCTAGCAGTACGCTGCCAGAAGGTTCCAGCATAGTATCATATGCTCCCATCTCAGCAGAAACGATATCCTCACCATGATGATTCCTTGGGAAGGGTCTCATCTGCTGCTCTGCTTCTACCGCCGCCGGTGCCCTCCCTTCCATCGCCATCGCCATCATCATCATGATGCCTCCACCTGTACCATCCACGTCACGTGGATCCACATCATCATGATCCACATCCGCAGACATCCCCGTCTCGATCTTGATCCCGCCGGCACACACGGCTGCTTCCCCTCCACCACTTTCCTCTCCCAGAACCCTACTAGACCGGGTGTTACCCGGTCTAGATACTCCCCACTGTGACTCCCTATTCCCCATTGCTTTCCCTTCCGCTGCTCCTGCCTCTTTACTTTGCAGCGGGAGCGTATCCGTGGAGACAGAAGCAGAACCAGCAGCAGCAGCACCAGCAGCAGCGGCACCAGCAGCAGCGGCACCAGCAGCAGCAGCACCAGCAGCAGCGGCAGCAGCAGCAGCAGCAGCAGCAGCATTAGTAGCATGCAAGAAGCACATGCGGCTTGCACCAGTGTCGCTACCGGCTTGGCAATCGGGAGCAGCAGCAGTAGTAATCATAGCCACATTATCGGAGTAACAATATCTCGTTTCAAGGTGGTGTGAGCTGCTTCTCGGGATCGTGCATGCTTGGCCGCCAGGTGTGCTACTCGTAGCAGTGGCCCTAATGTTGGCCATACTACTACAGCATCAGAAAAAAAAAAAAAAAAAGATAAGTAGACGACTGCTGAGCAACAGCAGTGAAAGTGGTAGTAGCTGTTAGTGTTGTGCTCTGTAACCCACACGTTAGCTCTCTGTTGTCTCCGCACGTTGCTCTCTTGCAATAGTATTAAATTTACCAATAACTAATGGTATAAAGAGTACTTCCGGTGGCATCATATCAGCCGCCTCGAGACTGCTTGCTCCGCCGGCTTTGGGAGGCTGAAATGGCCGGACCAGAGACTGAGTTCCCTGCGGTTTGTCTTAGCAGACGTGCTTGAAGAATGAGAACCCAGTGGGTCACTCTACCGTTACTCGACCGTTGGCAACGAAACATGATCCTGGCAGAAGAGGAAACATGATCCTGCTCCTATTTACTTCTCAGAAGTTAGTAGTAGCGCCGCGCTGGAGCACAGCATACTATGCTGAGTAGTAGTACTCGGTTGGCTACTCAACAAGGTGTCTCAGAATGTTACCCAAATCGACGACTCGCTTAGTAAGTGATGGCACACGAGAATGCTGTGAATATACGACCACGGATACGTGAGGTTCCTTTCAGCGCTGCTGCGTCCTTTGCCGCTGTCACTTTTCACGACTATCCTCGATAGTCCGTGAAACACGCGGCGGAAGATGTGATATTTGGGAGGACTGCCTTCATCCATGGATTCAGAAGCGTTGAACCGTTCCTATGGGAATCTTACGTGAAAAACAAGAAGTTGAAAGGATTCGGCGCGTGGAAAACAGTGGGGCAGGACAGTGGGATTCCTTCGATCGACGACTTTTTCCATACTGTGCCAGGAAGACAGGATTTCTTGCGATACACCCCAATGCCCTTTTCAGGCCACAACTTCTCGGAAAATGTGTGTAAGCTCATGGGCATATGAGCTAACCAAATTGTTATAACATAAGAGATTTCAGCCAGCGCTTTTCTCTCACAAGGACAAGCAATGATATGCGGGTGGCAATGCAGACACATAGTTCCGAGCATCGACTTGTTACCCGCGTGCAGGTGCCACCGAACGCATATATAATAGCATCGAGACCAGTCGGCCGTGCGGTTCATTGAGCACTAGGTGTATTAGCAGCTGCGTTACCACTGCAGTGTGAGGTTGGTCGACCCCTGACCAACAGTCTTTCCCCGTGAATCTTGTTCGTTGTTCCCCAATGGTATGGTTTGTTGATTCGATCATGACGCGCTAACAGGTGTTGGGAATACAGTAGAGGCTTCCAGTCGACCTCTATTCAACTTCTCTGACCTGTCGCGTTGTAATGAAGCACTCAACAACGCAAAACACCTTCCACATGTTGCCAAACCTTCTCTCGTCTCGAAGGCTGTCCTTTCAAAGAAAAAGCGTCTCGTTGCATCTCTAACACGGGCAATGGCATCTCGTTCAAACCCCCCTGCTCATGAAATGCATCTTTTACAAGTGAAAGTTAGGGTACATTCTTATCTAATGTCAGAAATCAAGTCATCGGCCCCTAGTATCCAATTTCCATTTTTAAGCCTCATTTTCCCTGAAGACCAAACCCATTTGGGTCTTCCAATTTGCACTATACCTGATGTCATCCACGAGATCTAGCCACACTATTGTAGCAAGTTTTGCAATTACAAACAAAAAAAATCTTGTATATTTAAAACAAATACAAGTAATGGTAAGGAACTTTATCTCCAATGATGCAGATAGAAAAATATAATATATATTGTCCCATACGACACACTTCATATGAGAGGCATGCATTTTTTACCTTCACATTAGTTTCGTTTATTAGCTATGTCAATATTCAGAAGCTAAAAATATTACGTTTCCTGTATAATTTGTCACATAAAGCGTAATTTGATGTTATATTTGAGTGGAACCATCATGAACCATTAAACCAGTAACTACACTATTCGGAAAAGCTATTGGTGAAAAATGTTTCCACGTTGTAACAAAATCATCATTATATTTATCTATATGTTGATTGGAATCATAAAACAACTCAAGAAATTTAATGAGATAGACCGTCTAGAACTGTGACGAAACATTACTTGGAGTCACATTTTTGCTACATTCTACCAAGGTTTGTCCACCGTTTGGCCTTTTAAAAACATAGACACCTAGAAGAATTGTCAATAAGTTTCGCCCAGAAATACCGTTTGTGAATCTATAAGGCAACGAGGTGTATAAGTCTCTACTTGCCGCCAACCCTGAGTGGTTTAGCTTCTTTGTCTGAGCAGTGTTCGAACTGACAGCATTTCCTCACTATCAACTCTGGACATGACAAAAATCTCACCATAGTTTTCGGTTCACTGCCCTGTCCTAGTTCAATTAACAAACCACCCTTTCATACTTTTGAAAAGAAGTGTTTGCTCTGTGTTATGGCTGAGAGGAGACCAGCTGCAGACATTTCAGTATCACTAGAAATGAAACATGTACACATTTACGAGCAGGAACACATTCACGCGCCGTTTAGGGACGAGTCACATTCGTGGGACGAATCACAATTACGTAAAAAAATGTGTAAAAGCCCAATATACACCCAGACACGCCCTTATCCAAGCTCCATCCCTGCATTTAATTTTAATTTCCAGCAGGGAGGACCCTAGATTGCTCCTCGCCCCTCAACACCACCGAGAGCTGTACCCAGTGCTCCCTCATCCCCCACAAAGAACCGCTGCTATTCAAACTCGTCAGAACCTTTTCGACACTAGAGGCACTGTGTTGGAAATACTGTTCGCAATAGTTTCACACAGTGCCAGTTCCGAACCGACATAGGGTTATCAGACTATCGGGACCCTGGCACACTGCATTGGCAGGGCGATTCATGATCACAACCTGGATCCGTCATTTCGAGAGTCCTGCTCGGGGGCTTGGTCGGGAAATTACTCTGGTCAACACGTCCGTGCACAGTGAGGGTTTGAACAACACTTGTCATTTTCAAACCAAGCTAACGACTTCTTGTCGTGTAAGCATCAGATTTGAGCTGGCACGAAAAGAGAAACTTCAGCGAATTGCTGACAGTTTTGTCCTCACATGAGGTCTGTTCGGTAGGCCCATTGGTCCCAAACTGTGCTGTCGCTTCACGAAAATTTGTCCGTTTTCCCTGGAAATTCCGGGTTGAGTTTGTCACACCTGACATTTGAAGGGTTACTTTAGGGGTTGCCGGTTTCCCTGTGCAGGATGAGTTGGCCTTATTCCCCTGATTTCAAATAGTCAGGCTTGGGGTCTGCGAAGAGCCGCTCTACAATGGTAGCTGGACTAACTGGGAGGCTACAGGGTTGTAGAAGTGATTGCAGCGTTTTACTTGCTCTTTATACTACTTGTGTTCACGGGGCAAATTGGCAAGAGTTTCACTAAGAACTTTGAGAAGTCGATATAGCAAACCTAGCATCCTAGAAATTCGACCTACAGCGCAGCACAAAAGCGGCTTGCCAACGTCGCAATATGGCGGCGTGCCAACGCAGATGGACGGCGGCTTACTAACACTACAAGATGGAAGTGTATCAGCGTCACATACGACGGCTTGCCAACGCAGCAGCAAGGCGACTTCCATTTGTACAGCCGCAGATAATTGTGTGCGCACATGTGCGCACCTACCAAGTAGGTGCTAGTCGATCGTTGCATAGGCACGTACATTGCGCAGGTGCAAGGTCGACGTGTACATGATGTTCGACCCGCAGGTCGACTTCGTCAATACCACATGGAGCAAAGTCTGCACACCCCCGGATAATTTCACCGCATAGTTGCTTGGTTGACCAGAACTTCGCCGACTTGACGGTCGGTCAGCGCCTTGTCGACGAACACCTTTGTCAACCGTCGACGTCGTCCGCCAACTTCACTTCGTCGGCCAATGTCGATGCCGGCCTCGATGTGGTCCCACTGAAGCCGTAGATCAACTACGTTGACTTCCCTCCTCATATCTGTGATGTTGGCTCCATTGAGGTCGGCCAACCAAGCCGACTTGCTCCTCCAAGTCGGCGTCGACCACGAAACCTAGCCGATAACAAGGTCGGCCTCGCCCAAGCGAGAGTGGGGCCTTTTCTCATCAACGAGGCCTTCCTTGGGTTACCATTGCGGAGAATACTATTCTACGGGAGAGCTTGACTAGCGTGGGACACACGGTTGGAGTTCAGGAGTGAACTTTGTTGTCTTGGTAGGATTTGTTACGAACAGTAATGTGTAAGAACATTACTGTGTGTGAAGCAATGAGGAATGAATGAACTAGCAAGGAGGTGGGTACAAGTAGGAAACCTAGAAATGTTGTACCCTATAGTGTCTACCCCACTACAGCCTAGATAGACCATAGCATATAAGTTTGACACACCCCCATAGGCAAAGTGGGGGAGAACAAGAGGTCAGAAGACCAGTCAAGCAAAGCAAAGCAAGCTCAGGGTGGATCACAACGTCACCACACATTCCGAGCACAAGTTCAAGGCCACAAGGCCAGTTCACATGCAAGATCATATATATAAAGGTAAACAAGCAAGTGCAGGTATACAAAGATCACAGTACAAGCAAGGTCAAGAAGTGAGCAAGTGAGGCAAGGTAGGTACAAGACCTAACAGAGTACAGAAGCGCTGATGGTCACAAGGCGCAAGTGCCTTGGTGAAGATATCAGCAGTGTTGGCCTCAGAGGCCACGTAAGCAAGACGCAGCTGACCTCGCTGCTGCAGCTCACGAGCAAGGAAGTAGCGAAGAGCGATGTGCTTCGTTCTGTGCTCCAGTCTGTGCTCCCGACACAAGGCCAGCATAGCCTTGTTGTCTACGTACAGAACTGGAGGAGAACGAGGCGGCTCTCCTAGGTCAGTCAGCAGGTAGGTGAGCCAGCGTAGCTCCTGTGCAGCCATGGCCCCTGCGTAGATCTCAGCCTCACAACTCGAGCCGAGAACAGAAGACGAGCGGGTAGACCGCCACGAAACAGAGCCGGAACCAAGGCTGAAGGTGTAACCCTGTGACGACCGCTGCGTAGCCTGGTCGTCAGCCCAAGAAGCGTCTGCG